CGGCTTGTTGCTATGACAACAGTCAGTGCAAGTTGTAGAGCAATTTTTGATTTTATTTTTGGTGCAGAACTGTGTCATAGGTCAGGCGTGAAGGCTTGGATTTATGTTTATGATGAAAAAGTGAAAAGCAATCTGAGTGAACCGACAGTGTATCTGTTGTAGGCCTTGTGGGCCTTTATGGTGGGCTAGCTCTGTCTTGGGTTTGAACAAGCTTAAGTGCTCCCAATTTCTAAAACTACAGTAAGAAAGCAACACACAGTGTGTGCTGCAGCAGAAAGTATTTTATGATAAATCAGCCATAGGAGAACTATGTCCAAATTTAAATTAACAAAGGGTGCAGGACTTGTCATTGTTAGTGTGTCTGTACTGTCAAACATCAAGGTCCTTTGGTTTGAAGATCACCAGGGGGTTAATTGAGTAGCTTAATAGGCTATGTCACAATCTTTCCAGCAGTGAAATGAATGGAAAAACTTTTCCTTTTCAATGTTTTAAGGTCTTGCAGAGCAGTTGGGAAAATAATATTTTCATACAGTTAAATCTACCATCTACCATCTATTATGAGTAACCTTGGTTGTTTCTTCTGACAGATACGTACGCAGCTCCTCTCGTGTGTGTTGTGGCTGTGCATCCTGACTTCCTGCTAACACTCACTGGGCTCCAGTGTGCTCCATGACGCCTCGTACGAGGTCAGATAGAGGACAGCAACCCCACTTCCCATTTCCATTCGAAACCTCAACCCCCATTGCTACGGCAGACCAGCTTACGCTTCCCAGAATGCACCTCTCCAGCTAGCTGACCCCGGGGTCGGCAGCTGTCAATCACGCCCTCAGCTGGCTCTGCAGCTTCTGGACATAGACTGGAGGATGTGAGGGAGGCCTCTGAGAGGAGCCCTGGCTCTGCATATGGGATCATCTCTGTGCATTCATGGCGGGTAATTAAATTAGCTATCCTTCTCCTATTCTAATGCAAACCTCAGGTTGAATCGCCACCCTGTACGTGAGAGGAAAGGCCCCAGGCGGTTATACCCAGACAAAGACAGCCAACTTGAATGAAGTACAGAGATGTACTTCATTCTCGCTGGCTGTCTATGTTGATGTTGATCTGGCAGGTCGATCTTAGTAACTTCTCCATCTACACACTGTTGGTCGATTATGCAGATAATCACTGGAAAAGGTCAGAAATGTGTTTACTCTTGGCACTAATAACAGACATCATTCACTATTATAACACCTCTAAACTATTATAGGACCATATATAACTTTTAAATGTCTGACTTTATGACATAAAGTGCAGGAAGATTACTTAAGTCACTTGTTTACAGTTGTGTCTGTGTGTGTACACATGCAAGCCTGTGTGTATGTGCCGTTAAGTTGTGTGTGTGTGTGTGTGTGTGTGTGTGTGTGTAAGAGAGAGGATGTAAGGTGTAACAGGGTGTGACAAAGCCCTGCGGACTGACAGCTAGGCTGGGAGGATGTAGTGCAGGGAGGGGTGGAAGTGGCTCCCTAGCCCGAGGGCCGCAGGGTGCACGGTGAGAGTGCAGGGTCACCTTTATCCACGCTGTCTGTGCCCAGAGCCGGGAGGCGGCAGGGGGAGACCTGGGACTCCCAACAGGCTGAACTGATTTCCTGTGCAGGGTCATGCCCAGGACAGGCTTGGGGGACAAGGGTTGAGGGCCACAGGGGAGCAGCGAGTGGAGCTGGTCATGGTATGGACAGCGAGTTGTTGCTATTTTCTGCCATTTCCCTGCTTTTAACCGCCGCTTCTTTCACTGCAAGTGGGAGAAGACAAAACGCACACATCTCTCTCTCTCTCTGAGGTAGGATTTAGTCATAATTTAACATAATGTACTTATTTTATAAAGAATAATCATGTTTTGTTTGATGTGGCTGAGATTTCAACGTCTATTTTATCCTGAAAGTTGGACTTCTCAGTGCCTGCATGAATGGACCCCCCCCCCAAGTATAATTAAACAAGCCACAGCACACAGGCGTCCACATAGGAGACTTTGATTCCTCAGCAAATAACATACCCATAATCCTCTACATCTTATGCTCTCTTGATGCAGTATTCATATAAACAGTGTTACCTGCGGCGGCTCTGAGATCATAGCGCAGACGGTCTTCCTCTTGCCCACATTTCTGGAATGCATTTACTCAGCTGGATTCATGAATTCAAGAGTGCTCTGCCGCCTCGGGCTACAGAGGACATGCTTGTCACGAGATTTGAGAAACATATCCGTGTCCCCCCTGTGTGTACATCTTAAAACTTATACTCCTCTAACAGAATTATGAGGTTTTTAATGGTGGTCAGCCAGACAGCTTGATAAATGCTGGCAACTACACCTAGGCTGGAGTTTACGGGGATGAATACACTCCAGAGTGTGGGAGGGTAAAAGGTGGCACTGTGGTTGTGATTAACATGACAGCGCTGACTTTTTTAGCCCCTGCGCTCTACTGACCCAAACATGTTAATCTAAGTCATGTTACTCATAAATGTCATTAGGCCTTATATCTAAGGTCACTAATCATTTTAAACTAAAAGGAGCTCTTCCTTTCCATGAAAGCAGCCATGTCTTTGCAATTTGTGTCCAGATGAAGACTGGAATTTTCATTTAGTTCACAACTACTCTTATGATCCTCTTGGTAAAGATAGGAATGTAGTGTGAGAGCATTATCTGCACATTGAAGCATGGATATGACTGTCATTGTAATTTTAAAATGTTTTCCTGTTCTCTTTTTAACAGGAACAGTTGCTAGTTTTTGCATCTCTCCTCTTTTTTGTTATTGAAATTGTGATGTACGTTTGTACAAATAACACTTCAAGCAAGAATCTCAGCTCACTTGGAGCCATCATTCACAATTCCTTATTTCTTTATCCTTATACTTGGATCTGTAACGCGCACTGTGGACACTTTGATATTTCAGAGCTCAAAATGGAATCAAATGGGGCTTATGAGGCCTCTCAGCCCAAATGGACCTCATGTTTACACACTTGTCCATCAGCTGAACAGCGTGCGGCCTCAGGTATCCAGAGAGATGGTGAGATGTACCCAAAACCAACGGTATCGTGTCTGAACCTGGTAAGTGCACTGTGTTTAGACGAGGTTTGTCTAGATTGGAGATAACATGTCAGTATCAAAAGCCTTTTATCTTACTGCTGAGTCAAACTCTTTCTGAGGATATTCAGTCAGTTTTTGAGCAGCATGTTAAAAATTAATAACATCTTGTGCTCTGCTCTATGGACGAAGCCTATTTTTCTGCTTTTTCTTTAGATATTGTTAATATGTTTATATTGACTTTTATCAAAACAGTTGTCAGCTGAGTTCAAGTAAAAGTCCCACAAAGATTTCAGCTTTATATTGCAATAATTAAAACTGTATTTCACTGCAAGCAGGGGCATGTTATGACCTTCATAACTGTTGTTTTGCTGTTTCCATCATTTCTAAAAGACAGTCAGTATTATTCAGTACAACCACAGGAAATCAGCACCATAGTTTAGAGTTGAATGTCAAGGAAACGGCGAAGTGAATTACAGTAGGCCTACACGTCGGGCAGACGCATCGGTACAGTGAGAAATAAGTATTTTGTATTTATTCTGTTTGATCAATCTAGAAATAATACCCTATGTTTCGACCTAGCTTTGTTGTTCTTGGATGTCGCAATATGCTCAAGATTGCCGATCGAATAATCCTTTTGTTTAAAAATAATAATTGACGCTGAGTTATTTTTAAATTCATATTATTTACTAGATAACAGCCTCCAAAATGTAAAACTTCTCCATTTAACTGTAAATCTGTTGAGGATGGATATTATTATAGCATATAGCCTATATCTTTTTTTGATATAGCCTACATTTTTTGATGAACGCCGACGTATTTTACACGGAAATTATATTCTTTTAGGCTGTTTCTGTTTTCTTTTTTTTTTTTTTTTTAAAAAGGCCAGAGTAACCATATAGGCCTATCGCTGAATGCACGGTCAAATAAATGACCTCAACAACGCTTTCATATTTAGTTTATATTAATATTAATATTTAACGATTATATTTGCGTATAGATTAGTTTTTAATTTATTATCAATATGTGCTTGCCTTCGGTAGTCTGTTGAACTGATTTCCACATGCTTCGTAATTGCATTAGTGTTTTTTATTTTTCATTCTTTTTGCATGTGCCTTTTTTAATGGTCAGAGATTTGTGTCACACAGTGAGAGTAGCATGTTTTTATGTGACTTGTAGGCCATCGGTGTCCTCCCTTTTCTGGTTGAGAAGGACGCATATGCTCTTTAATGCTAGTAGGCTATGCATCGAAATCTAATGGGAAAAACAAATATATGAACTATTTAATATGTCGAACGCTTTATTTTTCATGCAGAAATGTTTAGCTTATTAGTTTATTAAGGAAAATTAAGAAAGTCTGAAAAAGTAACTAAAGAAAACAAATGTAGGCCCAATCGTTATGTCCGAGTGTGTAAAATAGAAAAATGAGTAAAATTAAATGAAATAGCTACTAGAATAAAATAAACAAATACCCCAAACAAAAAAAGCAAAAGAAAGATAAATAACAGACGGTTTCATGGTGGCCTTCAGTACAATGAAAGTAGACTAAAAGTTTTTATTCGGTCAGTTTTCTGTGCGTAAACGGCTGTGTGTGCCTGCTGTCTGCGTCTCCTGTCCTGCTTCATTTGTTGATTAGGCCCATAACAATATATGAAATAGGAATTAAATGGTTAATTGGAGGGACAGAAACCACACGTGATTGAATTTTTGGCGGATTATATCAGACTGCTGGATGCTGTAATAGACACCACCAACACACACACACGCGCGCCTCTCTCTCTCTCTCTCTCTCTCTCTCTCTCTCTCTCTCTCTCTCTCTCTCTCTCTCTCTCTGTCGCTCACACACACATGCACGCACACTCACACACACAGTCCAATCCCGGTTTCACGGGTCTTTGTTTCTGATCTGTTAAATCCCACCCACTTGACATGAACACAGAAGAGAAAAAAAAACCCCTCTCACTCAGGCGCCCACTCTATCAGCGCCCAGTCGCTGTTGTCTGTGCTGCCTGCTGGAGCCGTAAGATGGACACGGAGAGTTGTTTGCCTTTCTCTTCGCAGACCAGCAGGAGGACGCCGGAAAACTCTCCGAGACTGGAGCACGGCGGCTCCGGCTCCTTTCTCCCCTGCGATGAGCTGCAGAAACCCTCGCATCTTCCTCCTCCTCCTCTTCCTCACCGCCTCAGTCTGCGCGGGGATCTGTACGCAGCCGCCGCCGCCATGGGGAGGTTTGGTGATGCTGCGGCGGACTTTACGCACGGCGCAGCCCCGGCGAACCCACCCGCCTCGCCGTCTAAACACAGCAAGTATTTGGACAGTATGAACCAGGATCAAAAAGGGACAGCGATAAGCGGCAAGCCGGTGTTTTATGAAAACAGCTCGGAAGGTAAGTTGGAGAAAAGTTATGTGTTAAAAAAAGTAAAAGTAGGAGCAACAAGATCTTTTTAACTTCTACTAATAATGACGATGACCTTTTTTGATTCTTTTTATATTTGTCTGAGCTATCTTGACAATACACTGTAGATTTTTAGTCAGACATACTGTGTACACTTAAGTGGCATGAAAAAATAAATGTAATTTTTGGTGAATTTAATTTACTGCGGAAGACAATCTTTGCATGACCATATTTCTTTTCCCAATTTTGACATTTCACAAATAAAATAATGGCCGTCCTGCACAGGATGTGGGTGGAAAAAACTAAATGGATAATTGGAGAAATACAATTTGAGAATAATCTTAATCCTTTGCAACACCTTGTTGATTTTTGTACGAAATTAAATGACACAAATCCAGTGGATCAGTTTTCCAAATCTTTGTCAGTAAGCCAGTTTTTTTGTTGCAGCTTGCAGGCTTTGTTTGTTCAAACTTAATTTCAATTAATTACACTAAAGTGTTGTGATAAAAATGTCAGCAAGTTTTCTTTCACTTGACAGTCCATGATGTAAAGTGCGAGAGGTTAAAGGTCAGTCTGGCTGCAAGTTGGGTGTGTCATTAGGCTACTAGTCAGCCATCAGCTTTTTCTGACAACTTTCTGCTTGATATTTCTATATTTTAGCCCTAAGACTTTCCCCCTCTCCTCCAATTGTTTCACATTCTCTTCATATGCAAGTTTTTGTCATGTAAAAAACATCAAAATCAGAATTGACTTCGAATTTTGCAAGCAGGCGTGTGCTGTCAGAAATATTAGCCTGTAAATGTCCATCTTGGGAAGAAAAGTGATGACTGTATATGTTGAACCGAAGCCTGGAGAAATGATGTGGTCTTTCACTTTATTTATTGGTGTTGATGATTTTGCAAAGCAACAGAGGATATGAGCGCTGATAAGGTCTTTGTGATATCTGTGTCCAGAATAATATACAACAGCTTGATTCATGTTACTGCCAAAGACAGCCCATAGACTTTTTTCACAATTAGTTATGATAATGATATCAGCTTGTCCTGGCTGAAAGTGGGCCTTTATTACTTTTCTTTTAAGTTCAGTTTAAATAAACAAAGGAAGGCATGTATGGTTTCCCCATTCCTCTGTCTCTCTCTCACACACACACACACACACACACACACACACACACACACACACACACACACGCATGCTTGTACATGTGTGCACAATTGTTTAGTGTTTAAATTATTTTGTAATTACTAGTTATATTACTGTAAGTGAGATGTGCCTGTATGCACGTGTAGAATGGATACCGTGTGTGTGTGTGCGCACACATATTCTTTATTTGTGTGTTTTTGAGTTAGGGTTCGTACACCTTCAAAGGAAGACACGTCTTCCTGCTTTGTCTACAGTGGGAGGAAAGTTCCGAGAAAGTGGGACAGGCCAACGCGTTTAAAACCCTTCACATACTTTGAAGTTTTCATTTAGTTTGCAATATTGTTGTTTGCAATAAATTCTTGCAACTGTAAAACAGAATTAGAACATTTTCTATCAACAGTTGAATTGTTTTCTTTTTTATAAAAGTGTTTTCAAATGAATTGCTCGATTTTAATAATGCAAACTCATATTTTTTCACAAAAGTAACCGAAAGGTTTTTCACTATTTTTACAAATAAAACGGGGTCAGAATGTCAGAAACAACTCTTCTTATGCGTTTTACTCATCAGGGAGATTTAACGCTTGAATGTCTTTATTAAGATGTTTTATTCTACATTTACTGCTAGATTCTACTTTACATGTATGATGTTCCCAGTGGGAGATTTGTTTTTTGTATATCCCAGACAAAATGTATCTATGGGGCAAAATATTTTGTTTTACCTTATTCATAATTTCTGACATAAAAAATGGTACACACACACCAGTACAATTTATCTCTCCATAAAAATAAAAAATCCCTTTTTAAATCCTTTTTATGAACTCAGCAGCATGAGCTCAAGTTCAAACCTTGCTATTAAAGGCTGAGATCATCATCATTTTATTATTATTCATCTGTTATAATAACTACAGCATATAGATTTAAAAACCAGTGAATATTCTATATCTATATATTATATATTATATATTATATATTATATATCCAGAAGCAGGATGGAACATATGTTATAAAGACTTAAGTATCGTTTTGGCAAATTGAAAACCTTAAGAGCAAGAAGTCTGGAAAAGAAGCATCTTAAATTTCTACCACGACTCTTTCAGCATATTAGAATTGATCCTCGTGCTCACAGCGTGATATTCCTACCTATACATTTTGAATGTATCCTCTATTTGCCTTTTCCCGCATTTCACATAGATCTCCAGTTACACTGGAGTGGAGGCAGAGCGGATGTGGGTGTTTGACAGGGTAAAAGCTATACAATGTCCTGCGGCCCCAGTTTGCAATCTTAACGGAGAATATTTTTGTGAGGTGGGATCTAATGGACATGAGGAAATTAATGTTGCAATGAAGAGTGCTCTCTGTTGGGCCCCATATTGAATTAGGAGAATAGCAAAGTAGTGTCTCAGTTGCCCCCAGTGAGCAAGTTCCTGCAGATAGATGGAGAGAGAGTTTTGTTTTGGAGCTCAGGGTTAAACATAATGAACATGGACAACAACATCCAAACACTGCGGGAGGGAACAGCCCTTTCCATGGTCTGTTAACAGGAAGGGAAATAATGATTTCAGATTTCCCCTCACTGCTGAATGTAAAGGGCAGAATGTTTGTTATTAATTCAAACAATTATGTGCTTTATCAGATATAACTTTATGATTTTTTTTTTAATAATCCAGCTCTGTATCCTAGGTGCCTTACTCTTAATGTAAATTTATTGACATGGACAAAATGTTTGCCATAGAATGAACTTTATTTGGAAGTTGATCTTAAACATTTCTTTTCTCTTTTTCCAAATGAAACAAATCAAATCTTGTTTTTCCCCTATTGCCTTGTGGGTTTAATTCAAGCCAATTCACAGAGAGTTCACTGCCTAAATATGGCTTGTCTGAGCTAATCAAATTAAAACGCTGTTTGGCTGATTTAGTGTTGTGTGTTGCTTTTCTCAGGCGTCTCACAGTTCAGCCACTTATGGCACTTTGAGTTTGGGAATCAAATTGAGAAGCATAAAAAACAATCAAGAGACTAACGGTTTACAGTGATACCTCACACACAAAATGTTTGCTGTGATAACCTGATTAATTTTGTGTTTAGAATTATAATGCGCTGTGAACCATACCCAAATGTGCTGGTTAAAAAAACTTAATGCTATTCTGAAAATGGGAGCGGTTCATCATTCAGTTGTTTGCAAAGCACTGACGTTTTCTGTATATACATTTTGCATTTCTCATCCTCTTATTTGGGATTTCTTCACAAATTAATGGTGTTTACTGGGGAGTCCTGCATCATTTTTCTGCGACCCTGTAAAATGAATTAATCAGGTGTAATAAAAAAAACATTTTTATTTAACCACAAAAGCTTAATTGAGATTTTTAAAAAAAAGCAAAAATGGGTTCCAGATAAAAAGTAAAACAGACTAAATATGACAGACAGATCAGGCAATGGTAAACTCTTAAACAAAGACTGACAATTGCCAAAATTTAAAATAAAACCAGCAGTCTAAAAACAGTAGAACATTAAAATGGTAAACAAACCCCCAAACAATTGTGTTAATGTGGTTAATGATGAACTGACAATACAAAAAGACTAGAATTTGAATATGAATTAACATTTATTTTGTTTGTTAATACAACTGTCTACCTTTTTCTGTGTGCCCACTTCAGTCAGAGAGAAGGGAACTCCGAAGACCATGAGCTATCCTGGTATTGGCTCAGACTGTTGTAGCAAGCTGAAAGAGCCGGGCGGTGGTTTACATGGGGACTCTATCGCTGACTCCATTGATTTATCGGGCAAGAACAAGAAGCGGCGCAATCGCACCACGTTCAGCACCTTTCAGCTGGAGGAGCTGGAGAAAGTGTTTCAGAAGACACACTATCCTGATGTGTACGCGCGGGAGCAGCTGGCCCTGAGGACCGAGCTCACTGAGGCTCGGGTTCAGGTGTGTGATAGAGAAACTGTCTCATGTTTCACACTATTTGATTTTTGAGTTTCTGACCTGAACAAGACCCGTTTTCTTCTGAAACTTTCCTGTTATACTGTATTTTTCTATTTGAAAGGTCTGGTTCCAAAATCGTAGAGCCAAGTGGAGGAAACGGGAACGCTATGGGAAGATCCAGGAGGTCCGCAACCACTTTGCTACATATGACATCTCTCTTCTCCCTCGCCATGACACATACCAGGTGGGCCACTGCCAATCATAAATGCCACACATGTTTTAGTTGTACACGTAAGCATTATTATAAGCATTTCCATGTTAATTCTATTAAATTCAATATCTATCATCTCCAAAATTTCGCCCATCCAGATGCAGGGCAACCTGTGGCCAGGGGCGGCTTCAGGAGGAGGCGGTGGTTCAGGTGCCGGCTGTGTCCTAGGAGCTGACTCCATCCCCTCGTCCTGCATGAGTCCATACCCTCACCCCCACAGCAATCTGCAGGGCTTCATGGGCATGCCCCCATCCCCCAGCCATCCCCACCACCACCACCCGCCTCACCATCCGGGCATCAACGGCCTCTACTCGCTCCACAGCTTCCCAGGAGGCCTCGGGTCCCCTTCCATCGAGGGGCCCGAGACTGAATACAAGCCGACGGGCCTGGTGGCGCTGCGGATGAAAGCCAAAGAGCCAGGCAGCATCCTCTCCTGGCCTACATGACCACAACAGTGCCAGCTCCCCATTATGCACTGACTGAGCCAAAGCATATTACATTCCTGACGCATAGTCAGTCCCCGGTGTACGCACCCACCTCAGCATATGACTCAAATATTTCCTCTTAACATTTATATAAGCCAACTTGGAGACTTTTCACAATTCAGAAGATCTTGGAATAAGAATTGAGGGCAACTTGACCTCTTGCACGAAAACCCAGCGTATTAATTGGAACTTAATTGTTTTCAGTTTTAGTTTGATATCACAATGCTGAGACCAAAGAGGAAAATTATTTAAGCATGTAAAAACTGTAATTATCATATTAATCATTGTTGGTTTTTTTTTTGTCTGTTGTGCTTTATAGTGTGACCAGTAATAAAGGCCTCCATCTAAAGCATCTGTCTTATTCAGTAAAAAACTATTGCTGGGAAAAAGAGATGAAGAAAAATCTCAGCCGGAATTGTTTTAGCCTTGACATGACTCTTTTAAAAAAACGTTAATCAAAGAGAGTTGACGAAAAGCCTGTGTCGCAAATGTAACTAGGAATGTTGTTGTGAAGCAAAAATGCTTCTCAGACTGTGGTTGCCATAAACACAAAGATTTCTGCTGTGCAGGAAGTGAGCTTCTTTGTATTCAAGGAGTACACAGAGCGACCGTACACGTGCAGCCTACTTGGCCTCACTTCAAGAGGCCTTCAGGTGGCACCTCATGTATCAGGAGCGAGTGGCAGGTTCATTAATGGAAAGCTAACTGAGCAACCACACTTCACTATTGATGATAAAGTGTAGAGCCTCCCACAGACGGCTGCTTTCACATCGAGGCAGGCATTTCTCATTCACATCTGGCATCAGTGGTAAACCCGAAGTAATGAGTTACAGTTTAATAGAAGAAATAGGGTTACCTTTGCCCAGAGCGTATTAGTTTGCTAATATTGTTCACTGAAGCCAGTTTATCTACTTTCTGTGTTCATGTATTGTCTTTTTAAAGACAGATATGACATAAATATGTTGCTGTGGCATACAGAAGTCTCACGTGTATTCTGAATGCATTCCTAATAATTGTTTTCAGGAAATCTCCTTGTTGTGCTTTACCCAAAACAATTTACTTTATTGTCAAGGAAACACTGAATTGCATGGTACATCCCATCTGGTGTAAATTACTAAATACCAACATATTCATGTCAGATGTGCAAACATTTCAATCTGTGTGAGATTGAAAATGCAACTTGACAAGAGAAAAAAAGAAAAGTTCCACTGGTGGACAAAGCCCTCCCAAGCTCCACTTACTCCCCAGGAGTGTACATGGCTTACGGCGGAATATATTGGCTCTTCTTTCCCTTTGCTTGCTTCACCATGACAGCCATGCTGCGGCGGATTAGCTGCCATTCCCTGAGTCTGTGCCGGGGTTTTGTGTGAGCCACTAACATGTGGTTCCAATAGAAGAACGCACAAACCCATCAGAAACACTTTCCACACCCACAGCTTCAAATTCCAGCCAGGCCCTGGGAGACGGCAGCCCTTACTGCAGTTACATAGCCCCCCTGATTAAATACCAGATTAAGTGGAGAAGATAAGAAGACCTGTCAGTAGGGATAAGGGATTGAGGCGATGGCCATCTTTAGGAAAGCTGGAGAAATAGCAGATGGAGGATCAGTACTCAATTTTAATATTTATTTTTATATAGGGAGCAGCAAATGTATCTGTGCATAAACAAAAGAGGAAACTCTATTATAAATGCAGTACGGTTTATTCCACTTAAAATAAGGACAGAAACTAATTACCTCATTTTATAATAGGCAGTCATGAGTTTGGATTAAGTTGTCTTTAAAGTTACAGTGGTGTGGCACAAACTTTGATCTGTATTGACTCAATATATCAGGCTACAAAGGCTTTATATGATTTGTCAGAAAAGAAATTAAAACTGTTGAGTTAAGTCTGCACAATGATGGAGGCAGTTATTAACTAAGCATCACTCTGTGTGTCAGGGTCATTGGGTGAAGACTGTCACTAAAAGCTGGAAATTACTATACCCTTAGCCTCATTAATGGACAAAAAAATATGATTTAATGCTCATTAAAATCCGTGCCTGCTGGCCACTGTTCGGAGCTTTGATCTCAACAAGATTTATCTCGGCCTTGAAGTGCAGCTATTGTGACACAACGGATCCTCGTATTTGAAGTAGTCGAACAGCATTAACATGTCCCTCTAAGCCTAACAATGTGGTAGCACAGTGTGGCCAGCTCAGTAACAGTGGAGTGAGGCAAGTCCAATACAGACTGTCATGAAGGATTTGGCTGCTTCCAGACATTCATCAGTAGAACTTCATTCAGCAGTTCATCTGACACACAACAACCCATCATATTAATAATGCCACACTTAGACGACTACATTTGTACAGTGTGCACAAAATGTTTTTACACATATCCAAAAGAGCCAGTTAAGTGTTTTTATTTTAGCATAATTCAAGCAAAAGTTTGACTCAGAAATAGGGGGAACTCCCTTAAAGGAGGAGCAAAAGCCAAATAAGTCATCCATTTTCATTTTACTTTCAATTTATACCTTCAAAAAAGAAACTCTTGTATCTAAAAGTAACCAAAATGTTCAAAAGTGACCTATTAAAAAGGCCCTAAGACATATATTGGCAGTACTTAACTTGGCTAATTAATTAGGCTACTTATTAAGTTAAAATACTTTTATTTTATTTTTTCATCCTTATTAAAGTCCTACAGTTAGGACTGGAGCTTGGCTACTGTATACACCTGAGATTATACATTACAACTGGTTTACCCTCGGAGAAAGGCCATGTTAACTATCCAAGGTCATTTTTAAGGATTAGTTAAGGGCGTATGTGCTACTGTACCCTCTGAGCTGCTGTTCAAACACTGCCACCTTGTGGTTTTAATAAAAAATATCCCTCCATACACCATGATCATTTTATTAATTTTAATCCCTTCCTGTGAAATTTGACATTAGTTTGTTACAAAGTCTGGTCATTTAAGATGAGTGTGCACTGACAATAATAGTGAAGTAAAAACAGGAGCGCCTCACAAAATAATAAATAATAAATAAATTAACTGTAAATCTCTAAATAAATATTCTAATAAGTATTACGATACTATTAAAGGTTTTATCCACCGCCTTCACCTTGTTACAACATGTGAACATTTGTATTTTAAAACGCTCAGCGGATGATTGACAGGCGCTTTAAAGTTTTCCACCCACTTTTCCAACCAATCAGGTGGAAGGGGCGGGCCGTCGCGCTAATCTTTACAAAATGGCGACTGTTGTTGTTTTGCCGCAGGGTCAGTGAATAAATCCGTTTTTCATTGCAATAATTTTCTGCACTAAATTGCAGAAACAGCTCTAAAAAAAAGCCCAGGCGTCCCAAGGGTCGGCTCCGTGTGGACTGAAATGAAAGGTAAAGAGCGGTCGCCGATTAAAAAACGCTCCCGGGCCCTGGACGATATTCGAGACAGGGGAGGATGCCACCCGACCAGCAAGAAAATGGGGGCTCTCTCCGTTTCCAGTGGGAGTAATAATGGAAACAGCTCGACCAAAAGCGACGGCGGCTCGACGAGAAGGAGTCTGCTCGGCGAAAAAAGAGACCGAGACTTCGACGGCCACAGCCGGACGGGAAACAACCACAGTTTGTCGGCTGCGGTTAGCTCCGTCGGTAAGAACCACAACCTGAGCCTGACGCTGGATTTAGCCTCGCCGAGGACCGCCTCACGGGGGGAGCAGCGGGTCCAGCCGCCCAGCGCCGAGAGTGAGTACAAAACCCTCAAAATAAGCGACCTCGGCACGCAGCTGAGCGACGAAGACATAGAGGACGGACTCTTTCACGAGTTTAAGAAATTCGGCGACGTGAGCGTGAAGATCAGCCGCAGCAACGACGAGCGGATAGCCTTCGTGAATTTCAGGAAGCCGGAGGACGCCCGGGCTGCGAAGCACGCCAGGGGACGGCTAGTGCTCTACGACCGTCCGCTTAAAATTGAGGCGGTGTACATCAACAGGAGGAGAAGCCGCTCGCCTGTGGAGAGAGACTTGTATGGTGCAGCTCAAAGCCATAGACATTTGCAGAGACCCCTCTCGCCCACCGGGCTCGGATACAGAGACTACCGGCTGCAGCAGCTTGCCTTGGGACGGCTCCCCCCTCCCCCGCCGCCCCCTTTGCCCAGAGAGCTGGAGCGGGACAGGGAGTTTGCTCTGTTTGAAGCCAGGGCACGTCCGGCTTTCATTGCAGAGCGAGCAGCCTTTCGTGAGGAGGATTTTATATCTCCAGAAGATGACCAAAGAGCCAATAGGACGTTGTTTTTAGGCAACCTGGACATAACTGTTACAGAAGCAGACCTGCGGAGGGCTTTTGACAGGTTTGGGGTCATAACAGAAGTAGACATTAAAAGACCCACAAGGGGACAAATCAGCACATATGGATTTCTGAAATTTGAGAACCTTGACATGGCTCACCGGGCTAAGCTTAGTATGTCTGGAAAAGTAGTGGGCCGCAACCCCATAAAGATAGGTTATGGGAAAGCTACTCCCACCACACGCCTGTGGGTGGGTGGACTTGGACCGTGGGTCCCTTTAGCCGCCCTGGCAAGAGAATTTGATCGCTTTGGCACTATAAGGACCATTGACTACAGAAAAGGGGACACTTGGGCCTACATTCAGTATGAAAGTTTGGACGCTGCACAGGCGGCATGCACGCACATGAGGGGCTTCCCACTAGGAGGTCCCGAGCGGAGACTTAGAGTGGACTTTGCTGACACTGAGCATCGTTACCAGCAGCAGTTTCTGCAGCCTCTCCCAATACCTCCGTTTGACATGGTGGCTGAGTCGTTTGTCCACCGAGCCACTCCTGAACCTCTGAGGGTCAGAGAACGGACTCCACCGCCACTTCACTTCAGGGAGAGAGAGCTCTTTCCTGGAACTGAGTGGCCCAACCCAGCCATTCGTGATCGGGTACGTGCCTCGCCCTTTGAGCCTCTGGAGCACTTGGAACGTGAGCGGCGTGCACGAGAGCCCTGGTCTTTGGAACGAGAGCTGCAAGGACGAGAACCTGCTCGCAAGCGGCGTGTAATGGAGGATGGACGCCATATAGACCACTCCCCTGACAGCACTGAGAGGACAGTAAGGCGCAGACGTGCTTCTCCAGATGGTAGTCCTGGGGGTAGCAGCAGAGATGGAGGGCGCTTCAGTGACTCAGAGCGCCCTCTGCGGGGCGAGAGACCCTCCCCTGTACGAGAACATCACAGCAGCCTGGAAAGAGGTGGGGCTGAACGGAGACTCAAAACCCAGAGTCTGTCTGACAAGGGACCTTCAAGTAGCAGTGTTTCAGCAGTTGGAGAGCGAAAGCGCAAAGCAGGCGATGGCGGTAAGGGGCCGGCCAAGAGAGAACGTTCTGAGAGCAGTACCAAGGGAGGCCAGCCATCCAAACCAGATGGCACCAAACTCGGTTTGGCCTGGCACGGCATGCTGTTACTCAAGAACAGCAACTTCCCAGCCAACATGCACCTGCTGGAGGGCGATCACAACGTAGCCAGCGAGCTGCTTGTTGACGGCACAACGGGGAGGCAGGTGAGCGAGCTTAAAATCACCCAGCGTCTCCGTCTGGACCAGCCCAAGCTTGACGAGGTGTCCCGGCGCATCAAGGTGGCGGGTCCCGGTGGCTACGCCATCCTGCTGGCAGTTCCTGGGGCCACAGAGGATACGTCTTCGTCGGACCCTGCAGCATCAACTCAGCGGCCGCTTCGCAACCTGGTGTCCTACCTCAACCAAAAACAAGCAGCTGGAGTCATCAGCCTGCCTGTGGGAGGGAGCAGAGATAAAGACAACACAGGGGTTCTTCATGCTTTCCCTCCCTGTGATTTCTCCCAGCAGTTCCTGGATTCCTCTGCCAAAGCTCTGGCTAAAAGTGAAGAGGACTATCTGGTCATGATTGTGGTTCGTGGAGCATCTTGAAAAAATCAGAACACACTAAGTTCAAGTATTGTTAAAAAAAAAAAAAAAAACCTGCTGTATGTCAGTAACTATTGCATGCTGTGTGTTCTGCATTATGGGGTACACTAGTATGGTTCTTGAGTGTTTGTATGTTGCCATGTAATCCACTAAAAGGACAAACAGTGCCCTCCTACAAAACTAAAAGGATGTGTGTTTTTGAAATTATTTTTAAAGGGTGTGTGAATTGCTCACAAGGTCATAAACCGACAGTAATTCAGTCAGAAAACTGGAAAACAGTAAATATGAGGAGCATTTGCTTGAATAAATTTCAATTTCATTTAAGAAGAGATAAGTCATATAGAAAACACATTTTTGGTTCATTTAACAGGTTGTAAGATCTTAACTTTTCATCTCTATTACGAGATAAGAAGTAGAGAATTCAGAAACGCAATGAATGGACACAATAATGCCCCCACTACAATAAAACCACAAACTACGGCCTCACAAGCTCCTATGGTGTTGAAGACACATCTCTGACACCGTGTTAACAAAAAACTGAAAATGAAAAGCTTAACAGAGGTCACATATGTTTCTGGGCTATTATACGGTATTGCCTTAGATTGTATAGGTGGTGTTATTGTGTCTACCTCTTATGCAGGTATTTACATGAGGGGAATCAGAAAACATCCTTTTTTTCAAAGCTTTGAACCTCAGTGCAATAATATTTCTACTATAATCACTTTTTGATGGGTGGAGAGAAAGGTGTGGCATTTTTAAAAAGAAGGTTTTTAGTAAAGGTGTAGTGAATGATTTGGTACTGCAGTTACAAAGCTAATCTCTCTCCGGGAAGATTTTGAAGGTCAAAAACACGTCGCACAACTCTTCTTCAGCACACCACACTCCCTTCACCAGATATGTTATTTTGGCTATCTCCCCTTCCTCAGGTAACTACCCTGATCACAGCAAGATAGCTTAAACGGTTTGGTGAATGGAGTTTGGTGTACTGAAGAGTAGTTGTGCGACATGTTTTAATTCTTATGGACTGTAAACCGTCTCTAGATACACGTCACACATTTCAGTTACCTATGTTGTGAATTAGGTTTGAAAAAATTACAAATTATGTTCAGTTTCACGGTTTGGATTTGAGTGTATCTTTTTATTATTGTGTTCCTCAATATTGGAGCACCAAATTGCAAGATAGACAATGAACTCAGTGTGTGTGCACTGGTAAAACTAAATTGTTATGTCAAGTCTTTGTGGAATGCTGAATACTAACAGATGTGAGACTTTTGCCCAGGGAACAGCCCATAACACAATACGCATAGCATAGTAAAGCAAATACTAACATGTTTTTCATATTTTTTACTTCATATTTTATTTTGTGCATCCCTACCTTAGAAATGGTTGTGTAATGTGATCTATGAAAAACTACATTAGTAATGGATAAAAAGCTTAGAGAGTTTTGTGTTGTTTCATTTATTGCTCTGAAACCAGTAGGTCCTCCAAGAATAATAATATTCAGTATCAGTAAAATGTTGGTACAAAGTAACAAAAACCTGCTATTTGTTCAGTAAGTAGGTCTGTGTCATTTTAAAGTTTTAGAAACACTTTAACAGTTAATGTTTGAATTTAAATATTAGAGGTTTAAATTGGACAGTATTTTACTCATGCCTGCCAACATGTTTCCAAGGCCTACTTACCGTATTTTGTTTTGCCATTGGATGTTTGTCATGCAATAGTAACGGACCCTGAATTATGATTTGCTGAGTTTGGTTTAATATGTATTGAAAACAATATGTCGGAGAAATGTTATATGTGTGAACACCACACCCACTTCAACGTTGGACTTTTGAGGAGACGAGTGCAGAGCTGAAAACCTCTGCAGAGAAGGCAACCTAGTGTTTGTGAGTCCTCGCTAATGAGGCAGCTTTTAAGTTGTGTGTCCCATCTGCACCTGTGATGACTTCTGTTTTAAATGGAAAATTGAGCAATGTACACTTTGATGTCATGGGAAAGGAAAATCCGTAGAGCCCATGCGAAGCTGTTCACATACCTGCAAGTGCGTTTGGGCACTTAATGTGACCGATTATCAATAAATTGTTCATTTGAAGGGAAACATGTTTCTTCGATGGAAGTCAATTGAAGAAACAAGCTGCCATGCCTTATTGTGTTTCGAAGGAGTTGTCACTTGAAATTTTGTTTCTGCACACGAAAAAAAGGGAGACAATTTGCAGTTTGTTTAGCACCAGTGAAGAGAGACCCCTGTTTCGTGTGAGGATCGCTGTTTGCTTACAGGCCTGTTCTGGGCTCCTAAGTTGCCCATCTTAAATTACTCCCCCCATGTTCCCCTGTTATACCCTCAACTGTTCCTGTTGGCATGTGAACACCCGATCAGGACCGAGGAGCCTCCGCTGCCCCCTTGTTTGCAGTGTGAAACGGTGGCAGATGCAGTCAGCGTCGGTGTTCGGAAGTCGAGGGCCGGGGCAAACAGCAGCACGTGCCAGTATCCTGTTGTCTTCCCCGGTCATTACTCTAAAGGTTTCATGTGCTTTGTTCCTGGTCCTGAATAGGAGCTGAGGAAATCCCATCACCGCCTGTCACACACTCCACTCGGGAGATTGTGGGTGACACCGCTCTGAAATTTCCATAGAATCTACAGTTCAGGCTCTCTCGCTGCAGAGGCCAAGCTGAACCACTGGGCTGATTTGTCTTTATTATACTTTGCCCAGTTATGATTTGATTTGACTTAATGTTTGGCTCAGGGAAGAGGATTGGCCCAAACCTCAGCTAGGAATATTGTTTTCCCCCCCATCTTTGTGTTCTCCTCTGATTGAACCCTCTCCGAGGAGACGAGTGAAGCGTTGGCTGTGCTGAAGCTGTACTCCATCGTCATCTGAGGTCTGCTGCAGCATGGAAATGAAATACGAACAGGGCAAATTGTTTACCCTTTTTGACAACGCTGGAAGGAATCCACACTGCGGATCCCGCCCCTCCCCCAAATCCTTCTAGGAAGATCTGTTTGTTTAAGTTTATGGCCACTTTACGCAGGAAAGAAAGTTTTCCATTTCCTCCTACCATCCATTTTAGTTATGTTAGTCTGAAAACAAATGCTGTGTTCTGTGCTGAGAAGGACCCCTTACCTCACTAGAGAAACATTGCCATCTTGAGGACCACGGAGCTCCTGCTTTCTCCCCCTCACAGTGTACCTGACAAATCACACTAATGCACACCAGACATCCAGGACAGAGCTGGTATCACTGTATGACTGCTGTGTACAAACGGCATGAGGGTGAGTAAAGAGAGAAAGTGCTGCCTGCCAGATCTGTATCGGTGGCTTAGGCAGCAGTGGTAAGTATAAAGTGTCAACACCACATTTTTTAATATAACAAATGCAAAATGGGACACTGTAGTAGCCAAAGTCATTGCTGACCTTATCTCCACTGATGGCAGTTGGCATTAATCCAATTGCTTAAGATAATATGATCATTTACTGCCCACAATAACCTGAAGATAGTGCTGCTTTGATCAGCAGCTGAAGATCAGAATTATACATTTTCTCAAATAGATAACATTTAAATAGCCTTTTGATAATACACTCATGTAGATGCTTTTGTTTACATTCTTTGCCAAATTGATGTTAAAGTTTGAAATGAAATTGGGTGAGTTTTTACAGTCAGTTACAGGCTACTGCTGCTTTTGAAGCTCCTGCCTACAGTAGATAAAAACAAAGGCATTTTTAGCTGATTTTGCAGCCTTGGTAGAGCTTTAAAACCAAATGGGGATTACTATCATTCACTTAAAGATTAATAATATGTTAATGTGATGTGGTCTGTGAGAAAACTCTTGTAGTACTAATTGATTTACGGCAAACCAAAAAGCAGCTTCAAACCACTGTATTCTTTTTTCATCATTAATATTGGACATTAATTATTTTAATAAGCCACTCGTGATTATATGTAATGTTATTGATCCTGCTTAAAGAAACCTTTATTAGATTATTTCTTGCTCAAGCCCAAAGCAGTTTTTTCACAAATGTAAGGAATTATAATAACATAAGAAAATTGCTTCTGCTGCAAAATTGTCTTTTGCATAAAGAAATGTGAACAACTACATGTCTCAGTATTAGGACTGTTCATGAGAGGTTTAAAGGAAGTCCAGTACTGGACCCTATACATTCATCACATGCCAACAGTTAGCATTCAAAATGTAGTTTGTGAAAATAAAATCCACCCGTGGCCAATACTCGTTTAATCTGTCAGCCAGCACTTCTCTGTAATTCACTTGTCAAACTGACACAGTGTCTAATAATGCAGAGTTAATGAAAACCACAGGGACATGCAACTAAACATTCACTCATCAATATATTTAGCAGCAATACAATGCTTTGTAAGGAATTGAAAAATAAAGAAAAATATACTCAAGGTTAAAAGAAAAGTTAACATTAGTTGTTGATTTACAGGCAGGACTCTTAGCTTTTGTCTTGATACAGTGTTAAGAAAATAGGCTAATTTTTACCTTCTTAAAACATGGAATTGTAAAATGTCACAAATTCTAAAGGTTACTTGGTGAAATCAGTTTACCTACATGAGGAGAAATTAAAACAGCTCATAAATTTCATCATTATAATATACAGACACCGTATCAAAGTGTCACCAGTTTTTTCTTTCCAAATAAGGGTTATAACCTATTATCCTTTGCAAAGGTTTCATATTATGATTTTGTTAGTAAGATATCTTGGGACGGTCAAATGACCTCAGTTTGACACATCTCACGTTATATTTTGTTCTTGTATTACTACTAGAAAGATCATCTGATCTGTGACAAACAGTAATTTATAAAAACCACAAATTTCACACCTGATTTCTGCTCTCCTGCTGATTTCAGTATAAAGACCTCACTTGGATATTGTATGTTGATCTGCATTAAAATATCTAAAAGCAAGGGATTTATTTCATTAACAAGCATTTTCAAATAATTTACACTTGTCTTTATGTTTCCTTTACAGACTTCCACTGGGCCGCAGTTGGTGCATCAGTTTGTTTCCAGGGTGCCGTTCAACACACTATCAGGTGTCGTCGACTGTAAGTAACCCATTTGTTTTGATTAACGGTACATTAACAATATGAAATGACATAAAATGTGGAACCCTTTTTTCTACAAAGTGAAATAATGACAAACATTTGTTGGCTCTTTTTTTAAACCCAAGATGAAAATAAATGTAATGTGTAGATAAATGATGTTGTCTCTTCACTTCAGTGTGCTTTAAAAGTATACATGGTGTGTCAATAAAACATGTTAAAGATGTTGCAAGTTGTGTGTGTGTTTTGTTTTCAGAGAGACAGAAGTTGGCCGAGTGTCAGTGCATTTATTGCCGAGTTGTCTGAATCACACAAGAACAGAATTGAGTCACATGTCAGTTTATTACAGCTGACTGCGCACTGTTACAAGGCTTAAAAATGAACTCTAAGGGCTCAGAACAGGATATCTATCATTGGTTAAGCATATTCTCTAAACTATCAGTTCACAAATCTAGAAGCCAGAGTAGTGACAAAACAGTGCTTTACCCATAAATGCATTGCAACAATACAAGATCATATGCCATCAAACAGAACTCAGTTCCTTCTCAGAGGTGTTTGAGACATTACCAAAGGACATACAAATTATTTCAAGATATTTCTCAAACATACAGTTCCTTAAAATATGCAGATAACTAACAAGTAAAATAACCCCAAACCAAAATCTACTTTTAAAGCATCAAATACTTTTCATAAAAAGATTTATTATGGTACAAAATATTCAGTGGTCCTCAATCACAAAAGCATACTGGTGGTGAATGCAACTCGTGAGCCAAAAGAGCTTTTGTGCATGACTGTCGTTATTGAAACAATACAAAGAGCCTTGCTCAGTATTGTGAAAGTGAGTTGAGGGGGAATAATTTAGTACTAATTGAGACAGCATTCTTTGAGTAAAAGCGTCCCTGTGCCACAAGAGGGCAGCGTAACAAAACACATTTTGGGCTGTCATCAAGACTTGGAGATGTCTGAATAATGGGTGTTCAAAGTGGTTTAAATTATATAAACTGTCCAAACTATTTTTTTTACTAACGATAAGCTTCAAGTTGTAGGTAGGTTTTCTAATGTGTCTTTGGCTGACATCACAGGAAAGTTAGTAAAGATACAATGCAGTACCTTGTAAGGCAAACTGGTGAAAACACAAAAACCTCTGCTACATAAAAACAACCCACAGACTCAGACACATATAAACACAATATAATTATAGGTTGCATTGCCAATAATTGGCTGCCTGCAGGCACTGTAAAGGCTGGGCAACAGTTTCCAACTAGTCCAGCTGGGGCACTTTGCATCTTCTTCTATATGGGCAACTGCAGCAAAACATCTTCATAACACAGTCTGTTTAGAGATTTACAGACACACAAGGTCGACAAAATGACACTTAACCATGCACACTCACACATAAACCCCTACTATATCGGCTCCATCGCCCTCAGCCCAACTGTGATCAATATTTAGGAAACATCTTCCCAAACAGGCTTACTCTGTCAGGAGCTGTTATCTTTGCTACAGTTAAAATGATGTGCAAGTGAGCTGTTAATGACAGGAAAATCTCTCTCTGTGTGCACTTGCATAGAACAGCTCATGAACGATGAGCTAGGCGTGACAATTTTCTCATCTGCAGGTGCTGCCAAGTACCTAGTAGTAGAGTTATTTAAATGTGTATTATCATTACTGACCCATAGACGTTGAAAGGCAGTTGGTAGTTTGTCATAGTATCTAAAAGGTCACAACTGAGGTTTTGATTTAAAAAAAGAAGAAAAAATGGAGTGTGTTTGTTTGCACTAAAGACTGCAGGTGCAAACACTGTAAACAGGTTAAAATGCCCTAAAATGTGATTACAGTTGAAGCACTCACACAGGTTGAATTTTGAGGTGCCAGATGAAGTATTAGAGCTGAAAGCGTGTGGAAATTTCAGTTTCATGTTTGTTCGTGGTCAGGAGCTATTTGTATGCAAGCGCTGAATGTAGTTAGTCAGCTGAAGTGAAGAGATAATAATTAAGTCAAACTGTCAATTGCAGCATTAGAAATTAATGATGAAACTTAAGTTAAATGTTGAACAATAAAAGAAAGATACAATAGAAGTACAAGTTGGTATATAAATAGTGGCAGCAGTTTAAATGTCAGTTTAAGTCTAAGAGATCAAAGCAGTTATAAAACAGGTGAGAGGGTTACTTAATGTGAAATCAGTGAGAGAAGTTAAAGGGTCAGTTTTTGTGCAAGTGCTCAACAAAGCTAAGATTTTAGTTTAACTTCCCACTGCCTTTGAATGCTTCATTTACAGAAGTCAGTGTCACCAGCACAATTATTATCATAGTGTTATTATTAACACATGCATTATAGCTCCTGAAGTTAAAAAAAAGTTTAAAGCTTCGACTGTGATTCCAGAAAAAAATATCTTAAAAAACTGAACTAATGTCGTTAGGTACAAAGGGTAGTATCAAGATGAAAGTATGAGTATAAAGGGGATAAAGAGGAAAAGAAAAGGGCCATTATTGTCAGTGAGGGGAAAAAAATGGAAGAAAATCTGAACAGAAGCACAGATGTCCTGAATGAGCTATATGTTTTTAAGTTTTGAATGGTGAGTCTATTTGAAAGTAGTTGACGGATAAAAAAAGCGTCTAGAATATTAATAATAAAGATATAAATACTTGAATACGAGTGTCCATCACCAAAAGCGAGCACACCAGTTATACCTTGAAATGCTAGCGCATGCCGTACAATCTGCAATAATCTTGTTGGGGCAAGAGATACATTTTTTATCTCTGTCAAACTACAGAAGCACTTGCTGCCTTTTTGGCTTTGAGGAGCAGATTACACATCGTGTCACAGAAGCAGGCTGCCATTAAGTGGTTGCTTGTTATCTTAAGTTTCTGGCAGTTAACAGTCAGAGGAAATGTCATGCAGCATAATCACAACTTGGCCCAAAGTGCATATCAGTGAGTACAGGTTTACAGATACAGGTAAAGGCGTCCAGTGAAATCAGGTGAAAAGTATTTCTTCATGGCATATGTGCTTCCATTAATATCATCACGGAAAAACAATAGTTGAAGACTAAAAGGATTTTCTAGATCAACTGCATAGCTTAGTTTCCAGTGATATTATATAGAATGAAAAGTTGCTGCAAAGTGAATGCAGTTTGGTGTTGGATTAGAAAACAGATTTAGATTATGTTTTATAAATGTATGGTTGCAAAGCTGCTAGTATTAAAATGTGCTGGATGATGTATGTATGGGATTATTTTCAGTTTGGATGCATGTACCTCTGATAAGAACAGGAATAGGGGATAAAATATTTTGTACTAAAATTTTGGCTTTTTAAAAGTTCAGCATAATCATCTATTCTCCAACATCCCAACTACTGTTTGTTCTTAGACATCTTAGGCAGGTCATAACCTCCTTCTCCTCAGCCCGTGTTACGTTCCTGCATAAATTAAGGGTCACTTGAGGCCCCGACTTTAAGTCCAAGGTCCAAGGTATGCAGGCCTATGGCAAGTTATGAGCATGCTGGTTCAAGATCGAAGGCCTTCCCTGGGTTTCATTCCTACGCAGCGCCGTTCTGTAGGCGGTCGGGGGTGAAGCAGCCGTTGGTCTTACAGCTGCTTTCAGCTCTCTTGTCCCGGGTCAGTTTGTTCCTGGCCTTCCAGCGCTGAGCCAGCGGCTCCAAGAACAGGGACACAGAGGAGAGCAGATAGCAGAGCCCAGCCAGGTAGAAAGAACAGTCGTAAGTCTGAGTGTAGTCGTACAGGAACCCTGCAAAACACAAACAACACAGGGACACTCTTAAGAGTCTGTCTATTTATTGGTGAATACACTGAGCATGTTTCATTAATGGTAACATAACTTCTATATATCATGTAGAGACGAGTGGAGGAGGAAGAAGGTTGAAAGTTCTTATGTGGGATGAAATCACTTTACATGTAAAGACTGTATTATAGTTTTATTTTTAACATTTCTTTCTATTTGTGTGTATAAATAGTGAAACAATATAGAACTCTAATAATATTAGAATATGTATCATTAATGATGTGCACATTTCTATAAGTGCTTATGGAATTTTTCTTGTTTTTTGGCTTCTTGGAGACTTTATACTAAGTTAACTGTCAGAATGATAAGTCGGACTTGTAAGTTAGGTAGCCTACCCTTTCTAACAAGGCACACTTTTTTACAAGCATTTGGGTTGCCAGGTTGTAAAAAATCCTTATGGCCTTCTAGCAAAACAGTTGTTCTATTTGTTTATCTCTTTATTTGAAAAGGACCTCACTTCTTTATTTATTACTAATTAACATTTAACTGTAGATTTGATTAAAGCTTATAACACCTTTATAAAGCATTAATATGTTATTTAACAATGAATTAAGCAATAATGAAACCGTTAATTACGACAAAACCCTTTACAAAAGTTTGCTTATCAGAAGGTGGTGGTTAGTCCAGAAAATCATTTTTGAGGACACTTATGTTTGTCAATTAATTTAAAGTGGTGTTTTTCCCCATAATGGATATTTAACATGTTTAAAGTGAACCCTTTATGTTTCACATTTGACATATTCACATTACTGCACAGCGAGGGATCACCTTTTTTATTATGCATGACCTCAGTGTAAACCATACTGCAGGTGACTCATAACTTCCTGTGTTTCTATGTGGGTTTTCTTTGCTTAAGCCACTCTGACATTTTACTTCACACAAGTTATCCTCGAGCCAGATAATAAGCAGGTATGACCACAATAAAGCCACGGCTGAGGCGGTTAACAGACAGTTGGCTATCCTGAGGAGATGGACCAACAACAGGAATGTTGTCACGCCCTGTGGCCTGAAGGAGGGATCATAGTTTGCATAACGTCAGTTTCTTAGTTGAACTGCAGGGATGGTAAACAGAGCCACATGCTATTTCGGTATTACCCTAAAGGGGGCCATTAGTCACATTTCAACCCAGAAATCCATAAGCTACACAAAGGGGATTGCCCAACACAGTGGACAGAGACCATTTCAATCGCTTAAGGGGTCCCCACCCTCCACAGTTTTAACTAGGGACAAATGTTACCTGTAAGGACAAGAAGAGGTATTTTTGGAAATACCTCATATTCACAGAAAAAAAAGTATGGATGAATATTTGATTATCACAATAAGATTTGCTGTGTTTTGCTGTGCAGTTCAGTTCTAGTGTTCTATATATCAAAGAAAAACAGGTTTGGTTCATGCACCAGTTCATGTATAAAGCAGATGATTGATGTATGTTATTTTTTAGCTGACCTAGAAAAGGAGTAGTTCATTAGAAGGAATCTGTGACAACTTGATGTAACAAAAAACAAAACGTGACCCAGATTAGAAACAGCTCTGGAAGTCTAACACAGACAATCTGCCATCACTTAGACAAAGTGAGTCAAACCCAGCCATGAACACAACACTGTTTTTCTAAGGGTCTGACTTGACTGGCTTGTAGGCAGGATGAAATTTGACCCAGTAACCCCTGCATGTATTTTCGTCAAAGCAACTCCAAAAACCCAGTTTGCACTGAGGGCAGCACTAACTGTAGGCTGTTTTTCTCCTTTACGTTTCAGTTTTCTGAAGTGACGGCATGCACAAAGACAGGCACACACACACTTGGGGGCTCTGCAAGGAATTCAGGGCCCCATGAAAATATGTGCACCCCCCAAAAAATATACGTTCATAAGAAAGGCTTATCAACCCCTTCACTGATCCCCCCTCACCCCTCACCCCCCACCCCCATACACTCATTCACTCTTTTATGGACACACACACACACACACACACACATACACAGTAACACACAGAAACATGTGTACAAACTTCACCTTGCCCTCTGTGTCACAAATCACTTTTGATCAGTAACGTCACAGCTAATGCTCCCATGCACATGCAGTGCATATGTATGTGTTTGGTATTTATGCAGGAAAAGTGGGTTAACACATATCTGACTCCTGAGGGTTTTCCATGACAAGATCAACTTACCTGCTAGAGGAGGCCCTGTAAGGCAACCCAGGCCGACAAAGAACATGGAGAAGCCCATGGAGTTGTTGAGTTTCTCCGACCCCACGAGATCTACCTGCAGGCAGAATAACACATTCACACACTGGGGCTTGTAACTGCCATTTTCATTCTTATTTGCATTTTACAACGTGAAGATAACATTTTCCAGACCATAAAATCATGCTAAATGAATAGTTACTAGGAAGCTGAAAACATTTTACAACCAGTATGATGTAAAAAGAACAAAAAAACAAAACATTTCAAGTCCAAAACGATGGATTACTTAAAATATCTGCAAGTTACTTTATATAAGGGAAAGGAAATGGAATAAAGGAATGAAAACCGACCTGAGACAACTTCAAACACAATAAAATACAAACTTTGTGTTTTAATATCTGAATAAGTCATCACAACATAAAGTGAAAGGAAAAAAAACAAACACATATAACCAGGCTGGTTGTCCCTGAGCAGTGCCTTTGCACGGCATGGACGTGGGATTTGTTAAAGTAATGTAAAGATAAATGAGCTAATTAACTTTAGTAAGCTGGTTATCTAATGCAGATTTTACTCAATGATCAGAATCCTTCATCCTGTTTGCATATCCTGTGTGTGTCAGTCATTGCGGGAGCAGTGTGCGTATCCCACCTAACCCGGTAAATACGACATGTGATTGTACTTCAGCAGAGAGCAAACAATATGTTAAGTGCAAATGTCCCTGCCTCCAGGATCTCAGCTTTTTTTTCTTTTAGGCCGAGTTTTAAAGTGTCAGACCAGAGCTGCATGACCACCCTGCCAGAAATCGTGTAAGTGTTGTCATCGGTGTGGGGGAGGCTTTGAGACAAGGGGTAGGTAGCTACAGTGGTTTGAATAAATGCTAATACAGCATGCCATAGTCAGGATGCTTAAGTCGAGGCTACAAGCTAACTTTTTGGGGCTATTAGTTCAAAACATTTAATGCTGTGACATGGGAATAAAAACCTCATTGAGAGCTAGCCCCACAAAAGTGTGCTGAATGCAAAACCAGACAAAACTGGTTATAACAGAGTATAGTATATTTCACTGCTTTTCAAACATTACTTCAGATGCAACAGAAAACATCAATAACTGAGATTTTGTTGTTGTCGAGTTCTAACGTCTGTGCTGAAATACCTGTCAACCAATTTGGTAGAGACTCAGGTTCCAGGCGTTTGGTTTGAAACTTATTTTGTTCATATTTGTATTACAGATTGCACTTTAAAAAAAAAAAAAGCCTTTTCAGGAAACTGATTTTCTTCAGCAGGCCGAGACAAGTGTTAATACAGTTTTTTATATGACCGATGAAGAAATCTGGTTTGACTAGTCTTCCACTCACATTGAGGAAAAAAAACTGATCACACATTTACACCTAGAGGCATGTCCCGGCCTTTGTGACCACACCATCACCAAGTGAAAACACACCACATACTGACATCCGTTTATATTTTCAGGTGTGACATGACCTGATGTTACTGGATACTCACTGACTTAATAGGATGTTCCACCCATAAAAGACAGTTGGGAAACATCTCCAACGCTCGGCTTAAAGGATACCTTTCCCTTTCAGTGTGTGACATGATGATGTAATTAAGCCACTTTTACATGGTGCAAAAGTCCCCATACACAAACACAGTTATTGTGAATTTGACATTTCTGACAACTGGCTGCTAGAAAATAACTCTATACAGCTCTCTCAACTCAGTATTCTGTATTATGTTGGAGCACTAGAGCTCATTAATACTTTGCATCAGCAGTTCATGTTTAATTCTTAAAATGCATTAGGAAACACGTCGTGCTTCTCTGCACCAGCCAAACAACAACGTGACTTTGTGGCAAGACCTCTTTCCATTTGTTGTCACTAAATATGATTTATTAATCACCACACCCTCTGATCTATAATCCACTTTAACCAGCCCTACGGCACTTAGTGCTGTTGCACCTACGTGAGCCAAAATATCAGGCGCATCTTGAGCTGCCACACAGTCTGTGTGCCCAAAACCTACTGCTGTCTCTCTTGTTGTTGTGGTTGCACAACCGGTTATTCGTAATGGGAAACTTTATTCTTCATCATGTTGAATTGTCTGAAAACAAATGTGTTCAGTTTATCTGCTGTGAGCTAAACAAAGGACTATTGTTGTTGTATTAATTAATTGCAATAGATATTTAGGATTTACCAACTGAATGCCATCTCCCAACAATAAGTACCAAATTAGCCTGTTCAGTCCGTTCCCATGAAAAAAGTTCTATATCAGATATTTTCTCGGAAATTCTATAAAACTATGAGACCTGTAAGGTTAAACATTACTGAACATTATAACCCTACTAGTAATAGTGCACATGCATGCTCATATTCAAATAGGATGGACTCCTTACTAGAACAGGCAGCAGCAGAGCCATGTATCCACCACAGAAGATGGCAAAGAAGATGGCGTAAACCATCAGCAGGATGTAGGAGGTTGCCAGTGGGGAGAGCAGGTTGACAAGGCCACAGAGGATCAGGTAGGCCTTGTGGTAGTGGTATTTATGGAACAGGTTCCTGTCTGTCACCCAGCCAGAGGCCAGCTGGGCGATGGTCTCTGTGATACCTGCAACAGAGGCAGAAAGATGGTATGAATGGGTGGATGAGAAACAGGGACAGAGTGAAGAGTGAACAACGGTGGTAAAAGTGAGATTCACATAATTTTACTCTAAGGTGAGAACGAGTTTCAGTAAAAACTTGCAGCTTCCACAGTTGATGATTTGATATGGCAGTTACTTTTAGAGATAGGATGTTGGTGATACTACAGACACATTTATGTTTTATTCATTAATTGTCTTATCATTTGTTTTTAAATGTATGTACCCAGCTCCTAGGAAAGCAGTACTGATACTGAGTGGATTATCCTAGTTAAAGAAAGTAAAGTAAGATGTTCTTAACTGTTTCTTAAAGGCAGGAAGAAGAGAAGAGAGGCAGACTGGGGAATGCATACAATAAAATATTCAGGTAGTAACAGGAAGCTGCTCTTTGGTAATGGAGTTTTTGATGGAATCCAAAAGACAACAAGAGCAACTCTTCACCTTTAGATAAAAATGTCTTCAATAATCAAGAAGGTTCAGATTTAACCTTTACTATTTCTATGCACTAGAAGAAGAAGAAAAGGGTAAACAATCTTTTTTGATTTTCCAAATCGGTCACAGAGGTTCTTCCAAATTTTCCGGCATATGGCCTCCTCTTTTCCAACATTCATGGCGATTTCTCGCCATGAATTCTAGCATCTCTGTGTTCCTTCATTGAAGGATCGTACAGATGCCTGTAGAGGCGCACTTGCTCGGAAAGCTTGCCCTCAAACTTGTCCATCTTCCTGTTTCCGCTTTGGCGCGCTCAGCTGAAAAAAAAAAAGTGGTGCACGACCTGGCGCGACATGGCCTAAATCCTGGCGCGTCAGCAAGTCATTTTGACATCACATTGTTGCGCTACAGGTCGGGAACGGCGAGTATATACCAGCGTTTAGTCTTGTTGTAATTTTGATGAATCAGCCATTTAAGTTCCACATACTTTCAACAATCACGGTTAGTGTGTCATCGCTCCATTTAATCTCCATTCACCTGCTTCGACATCTTATCGCCCCCTCCAGTCTAAGATCATTTAATGCAGATGTTTCCTGAATTATGAAATTCATATCATAAAACGCTGATACAGCAGACCACAGTGGTCAGAGGCTGACAGTCCTGACTGCATTAAGACTACAAAAAGAGTTTAATGCCAAAGTCAGACACTGTACATTGTAGTTTAACTGCATCTAAGGAAATCTCCAAAGGCATCAACCCAAAGTTATAGCAGAGACCTTTGAGCATACATAATCCTGTTCCTTTAAAATAATACAGTAATCTTATGCTTTAAAAAAGGGAGTGGTAGTGTGCGTGTGTGTGTGTGGGTGGGTGGGTGTGTGTGTGTAGGTGTGTGTGTTTGTGGGTGTGTGTTTAGGTGTGTGTGTTTGTGGGTGTGTGTTTAGGTGTGTGTTTAGGTGGGGAAAAGAGGGAAAGTGAGGGAAGAACAACACTCTGCAGCAAAACTAGACAGGCCTGCATTATTATTAATGTCACGTCTATTTAAAGTTTTTCCTGTTCTCTGTAACAAATATATTTCAGACACAACGTATCTATTTGTTTACAGCTGTATAACACTGGTACCACCCACGCAAACTACTCATTATGTACTCCATCCCATCTGATTGATTGTTTGCTCCAGTCGGGTATGTTGACTGGGCAGATATGTGCTGCTCTCTGCTGAGGTCAACTGGAACGCGATAGGCGGTGCGGAAACTGCAGTGGCGTATTGACCGTCGCAGGAATAGCTACAAGCAGGCAGCGCTGAGCCATTGATCAATGAAACAAACTGGTTCTATGCAGATCAGAGTTACCCATCCTTTGCTCAGCCTCTGCACCACAACTGCATAGGCTGCAGACACTCAGCTTGAACAGATGACAATGCTGCTGAATATGGATGGCTTTGCATACATTGGTGTGCATTACCAAGTGTGCATATTAACTTTTATTGTGAATAAAGATTGCATTAATCTACATAAATTAACATGGGGATGTAATGATGAATGATGATCAGGTACATCTTCACTTTTCGAGGCATTGAATGAAATTCAAATGAATAAACAATTGAATGCCGTGTCAGTGAACACCTCTGCTTTCCTTACATAACAGAATCTGGAGCATTGTGCTCCTCCAAGGTTAGAAAGGTGACATGAGGCAGCTGTGGTTTGTTTATGTGTCCTCCTCTGGTGACCCAAGACAGTGTCCCGGGGTGTCCCCTGCTTGCATACAGACGAGTTGTGAGTTTGTTTGTGTGTTTTAGCCTCAGCAGGTTGGTCCAGGCCTGCAGCTGTTCCTATCCAAATTAAACACAGTGCGGTTTAAATTTGGCCTCTCCAAGTAGCACCTTAAGCCAACTGCATCAGACATTAGCTCTGTACATTTCTGCCCATAGCACTGCCAGGTATGAAAGGTGTATGTGAATCTCTGGGCATTAACAGACCATGTGCGAGTTGCAAGGCATGGAAAGATGCCATTCCTTTTGCTTCAAAGAGGGACATTTTGTCACTACATTAAAGCAAAGGGTTATAAAAGGCATGTTGGTTTTCCCAGCTTTTCTGAGGTTGCAGTTGGCTTGTCTTGCCTCTTCTTTTGTGCATATTGCCGCCTCAGTGCTCCTCTGCTAAGTATCAGCCACTTTAGAACTGGACTCAAACAAAATTGGGAGCCCCTCTTGTCACCACGCCAGCAAATTTACTCAGTTAGCTGTTGCTTAGCGACTTCATTTAGCTCCAGTGTTGGTGGCTGAGGTTTGACGAACAGACTGACCCGGACGATAGTGGCCTCCCTCCCTCAGCTGAGTCAATGGGCCTCTATGACAAGCGCTGGGTCTGGAAAAGAGGGACAGCGGGACACTGGCATGGCGGCTTTGTGGTGTGGGTAGCACCCCATCTCTCCAGCTCTGTCTCTTTTTCTCTCTCCTTACAGGCCACATGACCAGAAAATGTGACAGAACAAACGTGTCTGAGTGAAAAGAATCTGTCAGTCTTGCTGCTTGTTGGCACGGACCGCTGGCACAAAGTTCATAAGTAACCTCACAGACCATCAGGGAAAACTCAGACACCTCTATCCTTTTTGTTACACCTCCATAGAGAAACTGTACAGATTGGTTTAAGAGTCCATAAAGCATACCTGTCAATAATTTGAATGTATCATGTGTAATTTTATACAGCAGTGCTATTTGATTCCAGTCTTAGTTTTGGCTAAATGCACAAATGTTTTCATCCCAGCTGTTTTTTGTGTTTTCTCTTTTTCATTTCCCCCCATTTTCTCCCGGAGTGGTTGTGTCAAGCTGCTGTCGCACACCAATACCAAGGAAAGCGTACTTTAAAATTCCAATTAGTTTTTTTCAAAAAGCTCAAAATGCATCACCGAAACAGTCACGGCAATCTAAAACCATTTCTTCAAAATAATTGAAGAAAGAGTCAAACAATTATTTCACATAGAAGAGATAAGAAATGTAAGAAATGTAATTTAAATGTGATGTTTCCTTGGAAGTGGATCTTGATCTCTATCCCTATTCTAAAGTAAGTGTTAACAGATGTGTTTCAGACATTATGTGTCAGTATCATTATTCTTATTTAAAAGACATCTTTCATCAAAGGTGATACAATATTTGTCTGCTAAGGACTGATTGCCAAGAGATGGATTACAACAGAAGCATGTAACACATACATGCAAAACCCCATCTGGAACATTTCAATTATTCACAAAGCCTGACCAAACACCCTTAAAGAATTACATGCACATGTGGTCAAAATGTTAATGCTGTTTTCTGTTCATATGCAGAGGCCTCATCAATGGCATACTGCTGAACCCACCCGCCCTGGCCAGTAGACCAAAGTTCAGCTTTTATGTAAGCACATTCATTACATAAGACTGCAGAGTCTGAGCAGCTCACAAATAATTAATGCCTAGAAGTTGACTGAGGACTTTCTTTTATATTGCTTCTTAAACCCAGTGTTAAAGAAACCTGAACCTATCCTCTCAGTCACTGTGAAATCCCTGATGGAAGCCCCATTCAAAGACAAACGGCAGCAATCAACTGTGTGTTCAATCAACTGTCTGTCAGATTTATAAAGAGCGTCAGGTTTATCATTTGTCTTTACACTTTATCCAAATTTCAGACAGTCAAACACATAACTGGTTTATAAACTAGAAGATGAGAACAGGTGAGCGGTGGTATTGGTGTCAGACACCCCACTTGGACGCACCGTACTTTTAGTTTTGTATGTTAGAAAATCCCCAATTTTGAGATTAAAATTACGTTTTGTTGTAAAGTCAACGTGCAGTTTTTCCAGATTTGAAATTACAGCTGTGAGGCTGCTAATGATAACTTCTTTTAGAAGGACATGCTTTGACAACTCTGTCGTTGGCTCCTGTGTTAATTGTGTTCTATATATGACCGGTCAAATGATTACCTGAATGATGGCTAGAAGCTGAAAAATGTAGGTTTTAACAATAACTTTTTTTAGTTAGTGTAAATTTCCTCTTCAAGATCCTCCACTTTAGAGTAACATAAAGAGATGTTTGAGCCCCAACTCAATAGTGACTGGTAAATTATGGATTTCTGGCACAAATATGGAGTTGTCCATATCCATCATTAATAAATTAAATTGTTTTTATTTGATTAAACAAACAAGATGTAATGTTTTAATTAGTGAGCTTTAGAAGGGTTTGTAGGAGGACTTTATTATCTTTCGACAGAGCAGGCAAGCCTTTTCCCCATTTCCAGTCTTTATGCTAAGCTGGGTCAAAAAAACACAGTGGGAACTATTGACAAATGTGTTCCTTACCTGCCACAGAGATGATAAAGGAAGCATCCATGGCATCGATGCCCAGTGTTCTGGCACGGGCAGACAGGTGGAAATAAGGGATGAAGTAGGCCAGCTGGCTGAAGACCAAGGACCAAGTATAGATGCAAAAGAATGGGTCCTTTAGCAGGGAGAAATCCAGTACTTTGGCTTTTATGGTGGTCACCTCGCTCGGCGTGCTGGCATGTGAGGGATATCCAACAATGGTAGACCCGTTCATGCTGCCATTGAGCTCCATGGAGCTGTCTGGAGTTGTGGGTTTACACTGACCCAAGTCATGGTGGGGCTCATGGCCATTCACACCATTGAGGACCAGTCTGGTCAGTTCAGGGTTCACTGACTGGTCCTGCAGTCCCTGAGTACATTGGCCCTCCAAGTTCTCAGTGTCCCCGTGAGGAGCAGGAGGAGGGGATGGGAATGAGTCTGATTTGGAGATACCATTGGATAAGTGAGAGGAACCATTCAAGCAGCTCTTAGTGTATTCCTTTTCTGAGGAGCTCTTAAGGGAAACAGCAGGGCTCTTTTGGATGGGAGAAGAGGTAGGGTTTGACACGGGAGGCTTCACATTGATGGGTCGCAGAAGCATCCCAGAGGCCACCAGATTAAGCATGAGACCTCCAAGAATCAACATCGCCCCTGTGGGGGACAAAGACAGCTCATGACCCGAAATGTCAACATATCTGTGCTGTATTTCTTCTCACACAAAACAGGAAATACACCACAAAACATACTAACGTATATTATATAATGTGAACCAATCAAAGAAATGCATTAGGGTCTGACACTGCCTGCTCAGGTCTGCCTACCTTGCCAAGCATATTGGTCCAGGAGCAGCTGAGTGAACGGAGCAAGGGCAAAGGTCAAACCCATCCCAGAACGCCCGATCGCATACGCTGTGGCTAGCTTCTTTCGGAAGTACAGCGCTGTGACCACTGAGAAGGATTGGTATAGTAGTGCAAAACCCATTCCTAAAGAGGAATAAAGAAGACTATCATTATCAAACAGCAGACATGTATGTCACAGGAATGTGGGCATACAAAAATATTCATTCACAACCAGTGACTTAAAATAGATGTCGTCAGGCAGAGGACGACCTTGGTTTCCCTTTGAGTGATCAAGAAAGTAGCAGGTGTCTCATTGAGGTATTTTGGCTTACCACAGTTTTCTACTCACCAACTATCACTCCCATGCTGATATAGAGGAACACCACACTGTTGGCGAAAATACTGATGAGGAAGCCCCCACTAACCAGCACTGCCCCAGCGATGGAGGTAAACCTGGCTCCTAGCTTGGCACAGGCCACAGAGGCAATGGGTGCTACAGACGATACAAGAGAGGAAGCATGAAGACATAGAATCTCAAAATGTTCCTTCTTCTACTGTTAAGCATCAGTGCAGGAGAAAATGTGGCTTCACATAGTGAAAGCTTTTCTCTCTTCTTACTAATTCATAGGGCCATCACTCAAAATTAGGGATGTCCCGTTAATTCAGGAACAGTAAAAATAGCACATGGGACACAAAGATACAGTGTCTGGGACAATTCTGTAGGACGGGAGAGAAATTTATCATATCAAATTAAATTATGACTTTTATGTGTCATGTTATATATCATTTTAATTGTTAGCTGCTCAAATTTGAAAAATGTGAGGTGGCACAGGCATGAGCTCTACACTACGTCTCACACACGCTCATACACACAAAATCAATCATAGACAGACACCAGTGTTGTCAACTTGGCATCTTTCTCACTAGATTTAACAACTTTTCAGACCCCCTTAGCAACTTCATTTCTAAAATGTGACCAGCAATTAATTTAGCGAGTTAGCCAGACCATCAGGGGAAAAGCGAGAAATATATTCAAATATATTATAATTCATTCCCAGGCATGCTGCTCAGAGTAATTGCAGTCCACAGCGCCGGGGTCTCTCCCTCTCCTTTTGTGCTGTGTATACGCAGTGGGGCATGTTTGACCTTCTCTCTCACTCTCTGGATCTCTGGATTAGGGCGTCCCTTCAGTTTGTAAATATGTATATAAATCGTTTGATCTTCTCTCCGGATCTCTGGATTAGGGTGTGCCTTTAGTTTATATGTAAATACTTCATTTAAGTTTGCCAATATTTAAATAGTTTGACTGATCTTCTTTCTCTCTTAGTAGATTTTTCTTGTAGTTTTTTACCTAAAATATGTCCCTGTAGTGACTGACTCATTAAATAGAATGACAGAAAGAACTTTGGGGCCAATGGTTGTTAACAGTAATAGTAACAGTTGAAAATAGTATTCAGTTGCTGGATACTGAGGAAAAAAGTTATTATCTAGGTCTAGGACACAATTATACAAGAACAAGAGATGAGATGTTATGATCTTTATATCCAGTCTGTGGACTGGTTCAATACGAACCTCCAGACAGACGCAGACTCGACATGATGGAACCGATCCAGCTGATGCTCTCTGCCGAGCCTCCAAACTCATCTTGGAATGCCACAAAGAAGATCCCAAAGCTTTTCAGTGTTCCCATCACTAGGACATTTACCTGGGCGCACACAGACACACACACACACACACACACACACACACACACACACACACACACACACAAACAAATAATGGGAAAGAAATCAGTGATAGCCGAGACTGCATGTGAGACAAAGTTTTTCAGGTGTAAGCAGTGGTGTACTGGTGACTTGAGATGTGGGTATACTCTTAATTTATGCCCCAATTTTTTTCAAAGCTCCCTGTCCAGCAACACCTGCGTTATACACAGTGACATGTATGACTGCTTTTATATATTTAGTTAGCCCAAAAGTAGATCAATACTGGTACACAGCCTAAGACATAGATATGCATTTTGAGTGAAATATTCCTGATTCCTTACCCGTCCACTCAAGAAAATTGGACAACGATGTCGTGCCTTTGCCATCCTTGAGAAAAGCTTGCAGAACACTACTGAATAATGCATATCAGAGGGGATTTAGAAGTGGCTATACCCAATGTAGTAAAGATCCCTATGATCTGATGCCCATGGTGATAGTCAACTTTACATTCTGAACCTCCTAATTTACTCCCAATGCCGGGCATACTCTGTATACCTGTGTATATCCTGCACTACACACAGTGTTCAGGGACTTCAGTATTTTTAAATGGTTGATTAAAAAGTGGCCTTTTTGCTGTTACCATTCAATTGGGAACATCCTTGCATCATCATTACACACAATACATCTGCATTTGATCACAGTGGTTGGGAAAACTAGTATATCCAGTCTTTTGAAGAACCATTGTGCTGTTGTAGTGTTGGGCTAAATATTTGCTAATATATATGAGAGATGAGGGATCGTAAACAACTGAGGTGGACATACAAGGAAGCAATGCAGGACCACCATCCAGCCCCAACCTCCATCTGGAGGGTCCTCGTACTGGATGTCTTTTTCCTTCTCCTTCTTTGTGGTCATGGCATCCTTCCTGAACAGGTTCATGGCTGCCTTGGTTTCACTATGGAATAAAAACAAACAAGCTAACATCAGTAACTTCTTACAGTCTGCCCAATCAGAAGCATTCATCATATCACAGGTCATACATAAAATACCTAAAATGCATGATGTTTATACAGTATATGGGTAATGTGGATATAAACACAGTGGTTACATGGTTATTGTATACACAGCATTTTAAGGCAATGTACAGGAATCATAAAAAATAAAAAATAAAATACTTGCTTCAAAGTCTTTCACATGGTCACTAATTTAAATGTTAATACTTAGAAATTCCACATCTAATATCTTTTCTCTGTTGCATTTTTAAGGAAAAGACATTCAATTCATTTATATTTGTTGTATTTGTTTGTATATTCAGTGAATCTCCATATCTTAGTTTCAATAAAACAACAACAGCATAACAGTGTGTAACATATTACAGTTTTTGAGGAGAAATACAAGCAAACTCTTTCTCAAAAGGAAAAGCTTGATTATTTTCAAACTAATGATATGATATTAATTTCTTCTTCTTTACAGTGCCTGTGCATCGAGGAGACTGCTGATGTTTGGCATTGATTTGTTATCATTATGTCCTGGCACAGAATGATCCTGTAAGCATAACAGACAGTAGACAGAAATGCTGTATTAACTTGTTAAGTCACTGAGCTGTGAAACAGATCAGTTACAGTACAGCAAAACCTGGTTAATTTTCCACCTCTTTTGCTCTTATTACAATGGTACGCTGGACTGAATGTCTGAGCAGTGTTTACATTAAGTGTGTCTACGTTGCAGCAAGTGCAAATATTCAATCATGTGTACCTCAAAGCTCCCTGTCAGCACATAACAGCACCTCAGCATGATGGGCTAAAGTTTGCTTTCGTGGTGATAATGTTTTAACTTGGATATTTCAATTTGTGAACCAAAAACCAAGAGGCCTTTCTCCAGGAGGCAGTTATCTGGATAACAGAGTAAAACCTAGAAACCCTCTCAAATCTGGTTCATGTACAAAAATCTGGCTCTGGTTTTGCAAAGTTATCCAGTAACCTGCTTCTAGGAATTGACTTTTGGACAACTTGAAACCAGGCAGTCTGAAAACAGGACTGATTAGAATTTACTCAAGTTGCTGTTTTACACAGATTTGGGATTTAATTATTTTTGATACATGAACTTGAAACTACAGTGCTGATTTTTCTATTTCATCTATTCCATGTCTTTAAGTATTTGTCATATCAAATCTTGTAAAAAAAAAAAAAAAAAAAAAAGAAAAAAAAAAAAGAAAACTGTATTAGACGAGTATTCATGGCCAAGAAATCAGGTTTCTCCAGTAGAAATGTAGCTGTGTCAACCAGCTTTTACACTGATTTAAAGATACACTATGGCATTTTTGACCACTTGTAGCGCAATGGGGCAAGGTAGTATCTCCTACACATGAACAAGGACGAAAGCGTCTTGCTGATGGTTTCACACTGTTCCAGAGGGGGTGGCTGTAACATGTCAAGAAATGTAGCATGGCACCAACAAAGGCTGTAAAGAAGACTGCTAGTAAGCAAACAGGGATGTAAACAACAATCAGGTTTGCAAATGTTTTATGAGGAAGGAAAAATATTCCATACAATTATTAAGACACAAACAATGTGTTTTGGTAAGAAACAATGATGAACATAACTTTATGTTGTTGTTTACAAAAGAAAAATCTCCACAGGATGCCCTTAAGTAAAGCTTTTTTTGAAACAACGTTAGGTTACTGTAGAAATAAGAATAACCTGTTTTGGAAGTTAACGCAGTGGCGATTTACAAGATAATGCAGTTTGATGTTTGTACTGGCACATAGCAGAAGGGGTCATAGAGGGTGATAATGGATTACTGAGTGCATTTATAATTAAATGTTTTTTTAAGCTAAATGTCATGTTTGGTGTGCATGATGTTCTGGTGTCCATGTGTGTTGATTCCATGAGGTATATGTGTAACCTATGAAGTCTGCAGCTTTGTGAAATGAACCTGGGCTCCTGTTATAAAGGGATTCAGGTGTGACCTGTTCATCCTGTGTTGTAAGACAACTGTACTGCAGTTAAATTTGGCAATCCCAACAGTAAACGTGACATTAAATTACTTTGAACTCTTCTTGGATCCTCCTCCTAAGACTTTGACTTGTGTTAGCAGATATTTAAGAAACCATGTTCAAAAGACACATACAATACTTTGTGTATTCATGCACAAGGTATAACAGTGTCAAATATGCACAAAAAAGAACAAATATTTATATAATATTTTAATATATAATCATTTCAGATTAAACACAATTTATAGACAAATACTAGTTGATGCTGAGATTTTAACTAGACTTAAGCCCAAATTAAAATAATCAAAACTTTTGCAGCAGCTCAATTAGGGAACTACAGCTGGATGTGAGGGTGGTGTTGGGCTCAGAGATGAATCAAATGGGCAAACAGCAGCAGGGATTGAGTAAGAGAGTTTGATGCCTTTAACAGCACTGTTGACATACTTATGTCCTGTGCACCAATCATCCATATGGTTGTTGAAACTCTTATTTGTGACTGACCTGCTAAGATACAAGTGAACAGACAGTGTTGACTCCATATAAAGCAATGCGATAAAGTACATCAGATTAAATATTGACCAGAAACAGATGAATCTTGTGTATCTATGCAAAGAATGCAAAGGAATGAGCTGCTGGGAGCTGGGAACCGGCATGGTGTAAAATGAATGAATCTGTCTCTGCAGTATCTATTCTATTATTTATTGTCTTGAATTAAACTGTGTAAGCGTAGTGCCATAACTGTGTTTAAAAACAAAACAAAGGTTTGTAACAAAACTTTGTAACAAAACTTTGTTGTACAAAACAAAGTTATGACATCCCATATTTCCGGACATAGTGCATTGTTTCTGTGGGCTGGCAAACTCAAATAGTTAGCTCGAACCTGCCAGGAGATCACACCAAAGCAGAATGCTTGAATTTATCTGTTGTATGGGCTTGAACTGGAGGCTGAGTGAAGATTAAAGTGCTATGTGACTGTGCTTAAACACAGATAATTATTCACTGTCACATTCACACCCCTGGACAGTTTAGAGTTTTCAATTCAAATCCACACAGATAAAAGGGAAGACATGCAAGTTCCCAGGAAGGCCCCAACCAGCCCCTACCAGACAGTGCATATGGAATCAGGACCTTCCTGCTGTGAGACGACAGTGTTAACCACCAAAACAAATTAAATTCATGTTTCAAAAGATTGGAGAATTAATATATATGCTATATTATTATTATTATTATTATTATTATTATATTATATATATTAATATATATAAATGCTTTATAACCAAAAAACCCAGCTTCTCCACAGATGAGTGTTACCATTACTAAATATGTACCAGCATGTAAATAGTGTCAGTGAAACCTGAATAAATCAAGATGTCACACATCTGTAACTGGTTCTCAGGAATAGGTGTGGCATCAGATAATTGAAATAACTGAAACATTAAACACATGTTTGTTAAATCCCACCTGTCAATGCACAGCCTAGCCTCACATTCTGGAAAGCAAGGTGAAGTAGAAGGAGAGGGAATAGTAAACCTGTATTTATCACCAGTCTTTTGTAGCCTGCATCACTAACTCAGTCTGACTTAGACATATATAAGAAGCCAAGACCAAATTAGGCAGAGAGCACAGAGCGGATTAAAAGGGGAATGAATTGGGCCTGTGTACTGTGAGGAAAGTATTTCCCCCCATGTGCTGTTCACAAGTTGTCCTCAGAGTGTGCTTGAGTGCATGTTTGTGAATGTGCTGGGGGTCTAAGGGTTTGAGCGATGGGGGATTGGAGATCAGCGCTTTGTAGTGTTGTATTAACACCATGTTTTTGCACACTTCCGCCAGGAGATTCTCTCTCAAGCTTTTACATTGTGTCTAAATTTAAAAAGTATTTCCTGCAACAAAAAAAAAGCACAGATAGCAACTGATGGTATACTATACTACAGATCTTTACACCTCCACCTTCTGAATTCCTGATTTATGAGTCAAAGTCTGGACAGGGCAAACTGAAAACAGAAGTCCTAAAGGGGGTGGAGTTTTCTCGTAAACAAACACAAGCTTCGGTTTCCATTCAGTGTTGCTCACCAAAATGCATTGTGTGTATCCTTGAGCTCTAAGAAATGTCCATTCTGAGTGCATTTCTTTACTCATACAACATTTGCAAAGATAGTGTTTTAAGTATTTTAAATCCAGTATATATATTTACTAGCTTGCAGTCTTCCATTTCCCTGCCTTTGCTGGCACATTGCTGCATATCTTGGCGTATTATCGCCAGCTGTTGATTAGAGGAATAGTGTGATTATTATCATTGGCAGCAATGGGTACTGCATCACAATGTCAAAATAAAATGGGGGCCCAATATAGTATTGTAGTTTCACATTTTGGGAAATATGCTTATACGGTTTCTGGCAGTGAGTTAGACGAGAAAATCAATACTGCTCTCATAACTGTCCATTGAATATGAAGCTGGAGCCAGCAGCAACATAGAAGCTAGACGAAAGTGTCAGTGTAGTATGTGTTCATAGCAGTCACTATATCCTGTCCACTAGTTTGGAGAATTCATATTTAATTCGCCATAGCTGCGACCACGTATGCGCTTGCATCCACAAGTTTGTGCAGTCACACACACACACACACACACACACACACACACACACACACACACACACACACACACACACACACACACACACACAACCTCACAAACACTTCTCAAACACCTCCATGGCAACTGTGGCCGCCAAAGGGAAGGGAAGTTTTTGTGGGTTGTCCAACCAAACAACAGAGCGCGCTATATAGCTGCTGGTCGCGGCTAAAAAATGCTATTTCCATTTCATTTTCATTTAATATCAGAAAAAAACTGTCAGTGCAAACAGTGCAACAGTGCCCTGAAGCTACATTGTCTTCCACTGCTATATTGGCTCATCCATTTCAATAAAAATGTGATCATGTATTAAACAAAGAAGTTCAGGTTTCAATTACAACCAATTAGATAAAAAACTCTTTCTTCACATCAACTGTCATAAAACCAAAATATGGTTCCAATCAAATAGATTTTTACCATTTGAATGAGAGGAGACGTAGATGAACATTAAAGAGCATTTATATATAAAGAGTGAAACTGAAGTGTAAAACAATGGGACATAAAAAAGGTATCCATGGCATGTACACAGCTTCCTTCTTATTATCCCACAATGAAATGTTTTGCATTTTATAGACTGCAATAGACAGTGTTAGAAATGTAAATTCCCTGCTCACTACAAAGAAAACTATTGTCTATTATAGAGTGAATGAGGAAGAGATTTGGGACACAAGTAAAAAGTCAAAAAACAGAAACATCCGCTTCCTTTCACCTACTGAGCTTCACTGAAAGGATGTAAGGAATGCAGAGGTTCCTGCTTCCCCCTCCCATGATTCCTCAGTTGTTAGAAACCACCACCACTGCTATAAATGGCAGCAGGGCAAATGTATTGCCCCTGCACACACCCAATGAATAGTTTTGTTGAATATTAATTTTTATGAAAATTATGAAGTGTGTTTGTTGTGATTATTGTAAATGCAGGCCTGTTTTATTCCTGTGCTCACAAACACTACTGATGTTAACAAACCTTCAACAGCATCAGACATCAGCTTTAAATGTAGCGAGTGAGTGAGTCTGTAAATGTTTCGACCTATTGATCCATTTGAAAGTGACTACTTTGTAATCTTTGCTTGAAATTTCAGTGATGGAGCCGTGCTTTCAGTCACACTACAATCACTTTTTAAGTTCATATCTAAAGAAAAAGAAAATCAAACCCACACACCTGCTCAGGCCAAGGTTGAACAGATCACTTTTGAAGACATAGAATCGACTGTATGAGAGTTGTTCTGAAAACTATGAAGTGGAAAGGAGAGAAATAGGGAGCAAGTAGGTCAGAGAGCAGCCAAAACGCCCAAATTCAATATTTAAAAAACCCACAATGTCAAACAGGAGCTACACAACAGAAAACCTGTGACACCAGTATTAAAATAATCAATTTGAAAAATATTGTGTGCTGATGTTTTTCATCTATTCCAAGTTTGTCTGAACACTACAGTTTGTCCTGGACATGAGCACAATGGGAGTTTTCTCTGCCTTTGATTCCCCCCACCCACCCATGTTCAATTAATTCTGCGCAGAAGAGTTAACATTCACACCATAAAGTATCTGGAAGCAGCTCCCTAGACAATATTTTCAGTTTACAAACAGAAGATAATTATTTGCTATTATTCAGCCTGTAACCAGAATACTACTTAATTGAACTCCACCCTGCTCGAAACTGCAGACATTGCAGAGATGGCAACCTGACAAATGACAAGCAGTGACAGCTTGGCATCTGACTGCTGTGTTTCAGCCAAATTGTTATTATATCCTTTCGACTAGTTTCGAGAAATTCTAACAACAAGCCTGGGAGGATCCTGTGCTTGAAATGATAAATGCAATTTCCATTTCATTTTCATGTGATACGAGCTGAAACAATTTGCAACTTCACTTTCAATTTTAGGCAACAGACTGCATTTTGATATTTACACTGTGAGATAAAGTTTATTTCACAAATGTCTTTATAATTATGGCATGGTTATATACTTAAGTAAACTCAATTATGTGTGTATATTTTATATTATATTATGTGTTGTTTTTGTCTATGATATTATTTTTGGCAGGTAAGATGCATTTTTTAATTATGAAAATGTCTTTTTAATTTTAAATTTGCAATTTAAACTGCAACTTGATAAAATGTAATTTTAATATTAACAGTCCTGCACTTCCATAAACAATGCATGCTTTCTCATATAATTTCAGATGCAAGCTAAACTTTTAAGGCAGATGGACTTACAAGCCTTAACAGTTTAGGTTCACATTTTTTCTCTTGAAACAATACATGCAAGTACATGCAAACAGTTTTTGGAAGCTGTAATTGTTCCTCCTGTCCATACTGGCCAGTGACAAAATCCCCCAGACCTTGTTTTGTGCAAAAATGCACTGAAAAGTTCAGCTGATTTCAATATGAGTCAAGTGGCGATCTTCCAGAGTTTCAACCTACTATCACCCAACTGCAACTTTTCCAGTTCCAGAGGAATACAGAGATGGAATTTCAAAGTAACAGGACAATAACTTTGGAAGTTACCCACTTTATTTGACTATTTCAGGCTGCTGAAGCCTCATATTAACTTCAGCTGAACTTTAGATTCAGGGATTGGGGATTTTGATTTTCCATTCATCTTTTACTTTGGAATAAAATAAGTCTCTTGCCTGCAGGTAGAAATGGGCAGAGGAATCTAACCTGATGTCTTGCACCTGGGTAGGCTGGCCCTGGGTTAGGTTAGGCCTGGGCTGTGACACCACTTTGGACAGGAGAAGCAAGTATAGCAAGTGTCCCCTCCAGTATAGTGAGCTCAGAGCCTGCTCTCCTCCAGAATCCCTGTCAGACTGTAACGACTATAACCACAGTTCAATATGTCTTGTTGGGTCTCTGTGGTGCCATTTCCTATGACTCCAATGTGTAACACACACATACACACACAAGTTGTGGCAACTAAAAACACTAAGCTTTGGAGATCAGGGTCAGCGTGTTATGGGTTTATCCAGCGAAACTGTGTAGATGTTCTTCTTCTGTGAGTCCTTATTCTCAAATTTTGCTACGAAGTGATATTTAAAGAACATTTTACAGAAAGCAAACCTTTGTATGTGCTGCACCAAGACCAACTTCTTATAGACAAAACATCAATAAAAACCTGTCCTAACTACTTATGCAGCATAACTCTAATTCATACAGGCTAGTTTATTGGTCAGGAAAATAAATTGTATTGATTCTGTTTTTCCAATCTTGGAGAGAGCATCTCATGCAAAAATATTTTAGGTGAATGATTCCTTAAAGTTGCACAATTTTGCCAAGGATTACTAAAACACCACAGAATTAGGTGAGTGAGTATTTCTTCAGTAGGATATTGAGTAATATAATGTTGGGAGCAAATTAAAATAAACACGCAGGAAAGGAATGAAACACATAAGTAACCTCTGTGTGTGAATTCAGGTTAGTCGTTAATCTAAGCAGTGATTGCATTGGCAGCGTATTATGAGATACTGACTGAACCAGTGGGCTCGCTGAGTTACCTCTTTTGTTGATTTGGTAGTATGCCTGAAGGCTCTGGAGTTGACGAATAAATCAGGAGTCTTATTTTCCGAGTGTCATTCTCAGGTTGGTCGAAGGGGACTTGTAACTATGGCTGCATCAAGATTAGCATTACACCTGCAACAAGAAGTGGACAAATGACACAAGAGCATGAGGAAAAAACATTTAAAAAATCGATGCAGGTGCACATACTCGCATCTCTGAAACCTGAATGCAGATGAGTAGCTCTCTCCAAACAACAGTGTGGATCTGTATTGACAATATTCCCATCCGGTAATTACTGAAACATTTTATATCAAATGGCACTAGCAGAAAAGTCAGGAGATCACCAAAGTTAAGATTCATCATTTGGAAAGTCTGTACAAAATCTTGTGACCCTTAAATTGTCAAAATAGTGTTCCATAACCTTAATTAATGTTCAATGTTCATTGTTCAAAGTTTCTGCATGTGAATTTTCTCCCCTGTTGTTTTTGTCTTTTAAATATATAAAAATATTGATGAGAGATATTTTCATACATATTATATATATATTTATTTGGTCAACAAATCAGAAAAGAATATTGCATCCTGCTGCCTCCACATATCGAGTTAGCCAGATGTCCCTCTGTTGCTGAATTCTGAGCTCTCCCCACATCCTGACGGAAGAGGAAAGTGTTCACACCTGCAGAAATCCCCCCCCGCGCCCACAGCTGGGCTTTAAGAAACCTGCCCAACAGCTTCTACATATTAAGAAGATAAACAGCTTCGTCCTGTTAAGGCTCATTCTGTTTTATTATAGTCTACAGCATGACAGACAACCTTTATAAACAAACATGTAGTTAAACTGGCACAAGAATATATGGTTGTTGCTGAGCAGATGACTGTATCTTTTTTTTTGCAGCTTTAAAAAAAGAGCTGACACTTAAAGAATCTGCACAGACATGTCTTTAGGTGACTAAAATAATAATTCATAATGTTCAAGTTTTAAACGGGCCGTCCACAATGCCTTAGGAGTTAAGACAAGAATATCAGCTTCAAGGTAGAGCAAGCCACATGTACAAAAATCCAGCATCCAAAATAGTTACACATTTCATGCCAACACTACAAAAAAAACAAAACATTCAGGTCTGCCTTGTGTAAAAGTCTGAAAAAAAAGGGTGGTGGTTTGTGAATAGACACCACCACATTACATCTGCTGATGTCACTGTAATAGATCCATCAAATACAGTATAATCCATGACCATAGAGCAATATTCAGTAAAATGATACATCTCCCTCTGTAGCATTGTTGTTCTCAAATGAAGCTTGTAAAAGGGTTTTTAAACACTCTAACTATGCTTGCAGAAAGTAAAAGTTAACTCACACAGTGGAGCAGTTGATCAGCAGGAGTGAACAAGTGTAAACTTTAATCCTACTAGGTTGTTTTTTGTAAAGTTAAAACACTCCCCGAAGATACTCATTTACTTACAAATTAAAAAATCTCAGGATTTTGGAGCCGTTCCAACCCTGCCAACAACCTGCTTCTGTGCAGATTATGCATTGATATCTGAACTAATCACTAGGCTGCTTCATTAACTGAACTACTCTTTTGAAAGAATTGCTCAGTGGCTTTACAATACTGATAAAGCTAAGGTAATTAATTAAAATAAAGCTATTAAAATGTGTTACTTTAACAAATATTGGAACATTCTTTTTCTAAGTAACTTTCTCTTTTGTGTTTAACTTATTTATTTAAATTTTATTTCAGTTCTTTCTGTTTACCTGACATCTGTCAAGGTAACACAAATTCACAACCTGCAGCCTCCGACTGTGACCACAGCACTGAGTCCTGAGCAAAGCCAGTCATCAGTCCTGAGGAATTGTGCGATTATGTAGTAAATGCAGAATGTTTAGCTGAGAGCTTTTGGCTTAGCCAACGGAGGCATAAACGCAAAACCTTATTACTGTGGGGAGAAAACAGGGAGGTCTCACCGTGTGCAGTTGTTATCTTCACTTCACAGGCCTGTTGCATCGTGCCCCTCGCTCAACCCAACAATGCTGGGAAGGCAAGGAAAGAGAATTCAGGCGCACAGACACTTCAGCAGGCAATTTCAAGAAGATGTCATCTGGGTGACATCTGTCTAAAAGAGACACGAACCTGCCCTGACGCAATGTGGGTAAAAGTTTTAATAAAAAAAATGAGTTTGGAGGGTCACAGAGGATAACAGTTTGAGGGATAACTTATGATTGATTTCTCGTGGAGGAGAAAGTTTATTGAGACAAATATTTCACCAATAAAGAGAGATAATTGTAATATAATCTTAATGTGTTCTTGTTCAGTCATCAAACACTTAAAAACGATGAATGTGTTAATTTATGTTAATGTGAAAAAGAAAAAAGAAGTCCTTACCTGTAATCTCCGACAGTCCTCGACGCGTTCCTGTCCCTATTTTCAATTAGTGTAAATTGATGCGTAATTTGGGGCTTTCTCGCTCTGGAGTTGTGCGTCCCAGAAAGATGTGCGCGTCACCAGTGACCAACACTTTTTGGCAGAGAGAAATTGCTGCGGGGCCTTTTTCTCCGATGATGACCGTGCCATAACTTTGCCTCTATGAGCGAGTCCCCCTGAGTTGCATCTCACGTTTCAGCCTCAACATCGCTGCTGGCTCTGTGCTGAGGAGCCGCAGAGAGCAAAGCCTTCACTGAGGAGAGACACGTGACTGAGACGTAGCAGTGAACCTCATCTGAGGGCTCAGAGGGAGGAAAAAAAAAAAAAAAGCTCTGCGGTCAAAACATCAGACCCACCGAGTTTACTCAGGTCCTGGGCAAAGGCAGTGCGCCACCGAGCAAGACGCACTGCACTGTCAGTCTGCACCGCAGATAGGACACCATGTGCTGAGGACAGCAGAATACTGTAAATGTATTTATTTATTTATTTATGTATTTGTATGCTGTCACCATCGATCATTATCCAGATATGAGATATAAAATCTTCCCAGTGCATGAAAACCACAACACAACTGTCACCCCAGGGTTACTTGCCCAGGGTGTGACAAGTATATTTCTATATATATATATATATATATATATATATATATATATATATATACATACAAGGCAGTTCACAGTGTTTTACATAAAAACATAACAGAAAAAAATTAACAGCTTTAACTAATGATTACAGTCTTTTTTTTCGTTCCTGTGATGAATTTCATGCAGCTGCCAAAGAAAGTTAATTGGTTAACCACTAAACACTGAGCAAAGGAGAAAATAATGAATAGTTTACGCGGAATAGGGCAACACGGAGTCAAGTTAAAGTTTATTAAAGGTTGTTATTCTGTGCATGACTGGATATGGAACAAAAAGACACACACACACACACACACACACACACACACACACACACACACACACACACACACACACACACACACACACACACACACACACACACACACAGCATTAACATGCCTTATTCGTACATTATGTCAATAAAATAGCATTACTGACACATTGCTGTGCAAAAACAGTATGTTTTATATAAAAGAAAGAAATCACACTCAAGTATTAGAAACTAAGGGAACATGTTCTGGTTTTTAAATACAGGGTCTGAAACGTTGCAAAGAAAGTCAATTCAGGTTGTGTCATTATATTTATTCGTGTGTTTACATTACATTTCTTTACAATAAAACTCCTCAGTGAGTCCTGTTTTCTTCAAGATGCTATCTTGTGAACTGCTACTGTGATGGTCCCATGACTCCTCACCAGAATATTTCTACAAAACAAAAACAAAATGCACTTATGATAAACAATATACAGACAAATAAGAGAGATTAGTTAACATTGACAAATATCTCTGGTTTACACGTATTGGCCTTAAACTGATTAATCATATCAACCTGTCATTAACCTCCAATATTATGTATATGATGCAGTTTGACTAATTACTGTATGACTGATTAATACTACACTCTTTAAACAAATTCCCTAAGCATGTATTATTACTGTTTACGATGTTATGACTAACGATTATTTTTAGTGTCATCATCATAAGCATCAACAATAGAGCTATATTGTGACCAATGTAAATGCTGTTTCATTCTCATCCTGCCACTGGAAGTTGTAGGGTTCTTTGTATTATTCAAAAAGAAAGAAATGGCCTTTAAACTTTAGTTCAATGCCAAATTGAAATAACTTTCCTATTAGTTGATTATTGATTAGATAAATGAACGGCCTGTCACATTTTGTTTTGTAATTTGATATCTGTGTCAGCCTTTAAGTCATTGATTTACAACTTGTTGAAAAATACTGTAATCTTAGACAGCAGCCTACGAGTCACAACAGAGCAGGAGGCTCATCTACAGTATGAATACAATCACTATAACGTCTAACAGTCTAAATAATTTCTTCCTAATTATAATAATAATAATAATAATAATAATAATAATAATAATAATAATAAGTACAGGTGCGAGTTGAGCTCTTTGATACCCACGCACACATTCAGAAGGTGTTTGTCCAGAAGGGGGCAGCAGAGCCATACAAATGAAAATGAACTCCTCTGGCAACTTTGGCCACTTTGATCACAGTGTGAGGTACAAATAATGGACCCTCCATTTCTGATTTTGGATCTCTTTTAACAATTCTTCTCTAGATTTACTGATCTCCCCAAGTATTAATCAAAACCACTACAGTCAGACCTCATAAATTCACTGAGATGAGAGAAAAAGGAGAGGCTGAAAGTCAGTCAAGCAAAGAAGACAAAAGATTGTGTCAGCGCTCACCCCGACTCAGACTCCAGGCACACAGTGGGAGAGTCTGTCGGGTCTCTGGTGAGAGCTGCAGCTTGTTTGGCCAAAACGGACACAACACCGCCATGTTCATCAGACAGGGAGCCACGGCCTGGTGATTGTGACATATAAAAGAGTGTTACTGCACAGAATTGAAGACGATGTCAAAACAAGTGCTTATGAAACAGTCTCCTGAGGCAACTGAAGGGCCTCCGTCCATCTGCTGTATTTGGATATTCTAGGTGTGTCAAACATAAATAAAAAACAATGATGTGGTACTGTCATGAAAAGAATTGATAACAGATGAATATTTATTGTAGATTCAACTTCAGGCAGCCTTTAATGTGTGTGCAGTCTTTTACATGTTGTCAAATGTAGTTTACAGGTGCAACTTCTCACCTATCAAACACAACACATTTAGTAATAACTTCACACTCAGGGGGGCGAAATGGGGGCCATCAGTGGGACGACAGTGACAGTTACTGTATGTGATGTGTTTGGTCAGAGATGTTGACACGGTGGAAGAGAAAGCGGGAGGACAGAGCTCACTGTCCATCTTTGAGAAGGACATAGCAGAGACATGTAGGAGAAGGTTTTCTTGTGCACATGTTTTGTATTGTAAGAGCAAATAGTACTTTAAATATAGCCAACAGTGTCTGGATGGTCATATAAGTTCCATTTACATTTTACCTATCCTTCTTTTTCTTGACATGTTTTCATTTATTTTCGTTTTTTAATTTCTGTTACATATAAGGTGTTGAAGGCTGTTGAAACTGGTGTTTTTATGACATGAGCTTATTCAGTTGGCTTTAGAAGATAAACAAATAAAAAAACACCAGTTTAGTGTCTGAGTACTGACTACTGGTCATTTAAACATATGACTGTCTGTCTTGGCTCAAATATAAAGATGGCTGTGATGAAGTGGTTGCTGAATATATTTACCTTTGACATAGGATGTAAATGTTGTGAGTTGGACTGCAACAGTTAGTTTCAGGATCAAGTATTTACACATTATTTTCTCAATTCACAAAAATGCTCATCACAAGTTCCCACGGCCAATGGTGACGTCTTAAAATGTCTTATTTTGTCCTAAACAACATGTACAGTTGATTGTCATAAAAGGCTAAGAACACCAGAAAATGTTCACATTTGAGAAGCCGAATCAAGTGAAAAAATATTTTAACAATTAATTATCAAATGATCTGCCAACCATTTTTCTGTCGAGCAACTCATCAATTAGACTGGACTCAATTAGCTTCCAGTGAGCGAGATACTGTGACTGCAGTATGATTCATGATTAGTGTGGGAATGATAATGTTTGCATCACAAATTACATTTTCACTGAACAAACGATTAAAATCACGATGGTGTGAAATGTGTTGGGGTGTTGGAGAACAGGATTTGTGGACCAGAGCAATTCTTAAGAGCTACAGACTTCATTATAATGCCATATTGCAGTTTCCATACAATAATATAATAGTGCAGCCCTAAAAAGAAGTGTTACGATGCAGTTAACTTTAGAAAACTGTAACAGTGTATAGGAAAATGTGCTTGAAACTATTGGAAAGTAATATAGACTTTAAATACTGGACCAATGTTGTTTAAAAACCATCACTTGTTTGTATTATTTACATACAGAAACTCACATTTGTCTTTCTATTTGCTGTCATTTTACGGGTGCTGACCATCGATACGTCGATGTTACTGACCGACACCCTAAAGATACCTGTGTGTGTGTGTGGGGGGGGGGGTAACTGTGTGTTTGCTTACAGCCCAGGTTGTGTCCCTGTTGATCCGTGCAGAGCACACCGACGACTGCTGGGTTCTTCATGCTGCCGACAACAAGAGACAAAGAGCGGTCAGCCTCCTTTAACGTCCCCACAGTCACACTACGAACTCAAACACGGTCTGCTGTGAACTTACGTGTCGTCGAGATGTTGCTCGAGGGTCGCCTCCATCATTAACAATCGTAAATAACTGCGAAATTAAAGTTTTGCGGGTGAAGTTTTGTTGTTATGGTTGTCTGCTTCCTCGGAGCTTCCGGGTGGCGTCATCTGACTGTCACGTGCGCGAAGGGTCCCTGTGAGGACCAAGCCGCACAAAGCGCGGTAAAGAAATAATAAACAGGACAGACCGACAAACGTGACGGTACTTGCTGTTTAATACTTAGACATATATATATATAGGGTGTTATTATGTGAACAATGTGCACTCATATGCATAAGTACGGCTGATATATCTACAGACATTTCCTTACAGGTTGGTGTCAAGAAATCTACTAATTGTGTGTTTGTCCTCGGGAGATTTCATATTCCGCTATAAGCATTTGATATATAAGCTTCATATATTGTAGATGCAATTATGATTCCTGGCTTCTTCTATGCGGCTGTGTCCTCATGCAAAAATCATTCTCTAAACTGGATTAGTTATGAAACCCTGCCTCTCTATATTTTATCATTCACATGTCACTCTCTTCATCCCAGCCCCAGTGACAAATGGATGTTGATATTCAGAGTTGCATGAATGTAAAATTACATTACTTGAGTTATTTTTTCCTCTGGATTATAGAATCTTTATTGATAATCCGGTTTCTTTCTCACGCATTGCACAGGCGGCCCACAATCTGACTCACATATAATCTGAGGTTGCCTAAAACAGCTCTAGTGTCACATGCTCCTCAGTCATAATAACACAGCCTATTTAAAGAAACATGAAGTTTTTGTTTGACACTCAGATCTAGAAGCAAAATCCTGAATGGTGCAAACATTATTCAACATAACACTCACCAACATAATGTGAACGATACAACTTTCTGTTCTTTATTGAACATAAAATACAGTGTTAATATTATAAGCATAAAGCAGGGACCTTGTTTCTCGAAGCCTTTTGTTGATGGATATTGTTAATGTGTTTTCTTCAAAAGTTAGCTTGAGGCCAC